GCTAAAAAGCTTTTACATTTGTTTATCAAGGGAAAAGGTATGCTAAGCAGCGATGTAGGGAGAAAAGTTGATTTGGGAGGACACTGATGATGTTACTTCACTTTTTAAATAACACTTACTTTAAAATTCAAGCAGAGGGGCTGCAGAAATGGCTCAGCAGTTAAGAGCACTGTCTATTCTTCCAGAGACCCAGGTTTGATTCCCAGAACCCATATGGTGGCTCACAGCTGCCTGTAATTCCAGTTTCAGAGGATCTGGTGGCCTCTTCTGGCCTCTGAAGCATTCAGCGTGCATACACAACACACACAACACAGACATACATGCTGGTGAAACAACCCACACACATAAAATAGATAAAATAAACCAATCCAAACTGAAGGTGGTATAATCACAGTACTCAAGAGGCTGAAGCTTGAGGATTGTGAGTTTAAGATCAGCCTGAGCACCATATGGTCTCAAACATAACAAAAAAAGAGACCTAGACCCATAGGAAGGAAGTGACACCAAGCAATTTCAGCTGGCAGTATTTATGGATGAATACTAACCAAGGCCAGAACTTGGTTAGAGGGGACAAAAGAGAATCTGGCACCTGATGTGTTTCTTCTCTCTCCCTGTCCTTGAGCCAATCTGGTCCTCATGGCTGGCCTTGAGTCTTATGTCCTTTTCATGATGTTAACAAATGTCCACCAGAGGTCACTCAGACTTTCTCCTAAAGATAGCTTGGATCATAGTTAAGTGCGGGGGAATTCAGAGTTCCCCTGCTTGGTTCTGAACATCAACCAATTACTTCTGAGCATTATTAGTCAAATTATTTGGCCTCTTTGTTGCCACCCATGCCAAACAGAAACAACAGCAGGACATATTAACATGAGATTGCTATGAATATTAATTATCCTACATGTGGTGCTATTTTGTTTATGATCTAATAAAGCTTACTGAAGATCAGAGTGCAAAGCTAGCCACAGCCATAGAAGCCAGGCAGTGGTGGTACACAATTTTAATCCCAGCACTCAGGAGACAGAAGCAGATGGATCTCTGTGAGTTCAAGCCCACCCTGGGCTACATGAAGAGTGAATCCATCTAAAAGAGAAACAGAGCTCACACCTTTGATATCAGCACTCAGGATGACATGCCTTTAATCCTTGCACTGGGGAGGTGGAGACAGGAGTGATCTGTCTGGGGACTGGGTGGAGAGAGGAATATAAGCCAGAGGGGATAGGAACTTATTGCAATCTGAGGTTTGGTGGAGACAGATGCAGTATAGGCAGAAGGCAAGCATTGGTAGAGGTGAGAACTTTCTAGTGTGTGGCCACTTTGCTTCTCTGATCTTCAGCTTTAACCCCAACATCTGTCTCTGGATTTTTATTATTTGTGCTATACCTATATAATGAGAAATCCCTAAGAATACAGCTTGGTACATGGTAAATGATGTTTAAATATTGAATATAAAATAAATTCTGAGTGAAGTAACTTTGTTTTGTTTTGTTTTGAAGACAGGGTCTATGTAGTCCTGGAAGTCCTGGAATTCAATATATGGATTAGGCTGGCCTTGACTTCTGCCTGCCTCTTCCCTTACCTTCCAGGGCTATATGCCATCACACCCAGTTGAGGGAAGTAACTTCTGTGTACCTCGCAGAGTCTGAAGATCAAACCCTATGATAACATACACAACAACACACAAGGAAAAAGTCATCATTGGCAGTGAACACTACCATGGGTTATCACAGATTTTTTTTTTTTTTTTTTTTTTTTTTTTTTTTAGAGTGTATCAAATAGACCGGGTGAAGCTGAGAGGGCATATTGGCAGGTAGAAGGCACTGTTGGGATTTTACTCCAGTGTGCTAATAGGAAGCATTCCTTTTTACAAGGCAGCCTTATGCCACTGCCCTGCAGAGACCATTGAGAAGTGAGAGCAAAGGGCTCTGCCTAGAGATAAGAGGATCTGTCTTTTGTGCCTATCAAAGGGAGAACTTGCAACACCCAGGAGGGTGCAACATCCCAGGCTAGTAGACAGGCATGCTGGGTAAAAGAGATGGCGTGCCAGGAAGGTGACTGAAATTAAGTCAGACTAGGGCTTCATCTATGATTCTGAAGTTCCTCACTGGCCTGGGCAAGCAGCCAAATAAAACTGTTGGCTTCAATCCCACCCTTCAGACCCATCTATCTTGGGCTCTCAAGCTAAACCCCAAGAATTATCTATCATCTCTTTACCTTGTCTTCATGGTTTTTCTCCTCACCCCTTCTTAGTGTTGGGGATTGGCACAGGGTTTTCCACATGCTAAGTGTTCCACTACTGAGTTATAGCCCTAACCTCCTCTGTCACCCTTCCTGTTTTGGAAGCAGAGCTTCACCACATTGTCCAGGCTGGGCCTGAACATGCTCTATAACCTAAATGGGTGCCATCCTCCTGCCTCAGCCTCTCAACTAACTGGGAGTGTAGTCTTGCTCCACTAGGAGCCTGTGGGGATCCCTTTCTTTATTTCTGTCCTTGAAAAAGAAGGCTTGCTACTTTTCCTACCATGCTGTTCTGATGGAGCAAAAAAGTCCAATGCCTTGGTGGCTGCTAAATGATCTCTAAGCTTTCAGCAAAGTCTGTCTTGATTCAGTGTTCAAACCTCCATGTTCTCTACATGGCCCCAGGAAGGAAAGCTCCTAAAAGCAATCCGTGTCTGCAGAGACCAACTGGCTGATTAGAAGTTCAGAACTGTGGAGACATTGGGATGTTGCAGGTCCAGAGGCTACTTATCTTGGGCTAAGTTCTAGTCTCTGGAACAGCCATTCCTTGTCCCCTCACCCCGCTGGTTAGAACTAACATCTTATGACAATAGATTAAGGCTGTTAGAATCTATTGGCCTACAGGCAAATAGTTTCTACCAATCCAAAAGCTAAGAATACCATCAGATAGCATCTTGACCCATAGAAAAGCTTCTGCCATTCCTACATACCTGTGTCTCCTACATGTCCAACAATGTATTTTAAACTTGCCTTGATTTATGACTTTCTCTTCCTGTAAAACTACAAAAACTGCTTCCACATTGGAACATGGGGTATCTGGGATAACCTAAATCTGTGCTCCCTGGCTATGGTCACTCAAATGGCTTCAGAATAAACTATCTCTTATTCCCTTTAAGATGAGAACTGTGGTTTTATGTACCAAGGGTCAGTCCCTAGACAACAAAGTCTCTGCTTGGTTTGGCTTTAAGACATATCACTCAGCACAATCACTAGTTCAAAGGGACTTGTTCATAACTATGTTGGGTAAGACTTTTTTGTTTTGTTTACTCTAGACAGGATTTCTGTATGCAGCCCTGACTATCCTGGAACTCACTCTGTAGACCAGGCTGGCCTTGAACTTGCAAAGATCTCCCTGTCTCTGCCTCCCAAGTGTTGGGATTAAAGACATGGGTCACCACTAGCCTGTGGAAGAAACTTTTCAGATGCTGACTTCACCATCTTCCCAAGGGCAAAGTGATTAGCTTGCCTACAACACTATAAACACTAATTTTTAATCTCCTTATGCCATTAAAATTTTTTACTAACTTAGATATTCCAACCAATGATTCTCAAAACTGTGTAGGTCACAGGATTTTTGTGAAAAACAAAAACAAAAATTAACACATAGTAATTTGATACTTTTTAATTATTCCTGAAAAAAATTATCAAAATTAAATATACCCCTAGATAGTAATGAAAAATAACTATACATACATATGTCATTCAATATAGACAGAGTTGGTTCTAGGACTTCTCTCACATACCAATATTGTTGGATTCTCAAGTTTTTCATGGGCGATTCATGAAGTTTGCATATAACCTGATCACATTTTTTTTGTATTCACTTATGACACTTGAGATTAAATAATTTCTTCAGGTGATGCCTGAAGAAATTTGTTGTTGTTATTTATTTATTTTTATTTATTTATTTATTTTGTTTTGTTTTTTTGAGACAGGGTTTCTCAGTAGCTATACAGCCAGTATTGGAACTCACTCTGCAGGCCAGGCTGGCCTTGAACTCACAGATATCCTCCTGCCTCTGCCTCCCGAGTGCTGGAACTAAAGGTGTATGCCACAATGCCTGGCTGCTCTTAATTGCTAAGCCATCTCTCCAGCCCGTTACTGTTTTTTTTTTTTTTAATTTTTTTTCTTTTTTTAGATTTATTTTTATTATGTATACAGACTGCAGGTCAGAAGAGGGCACCAGAACTCATTGCAGATGGTTGTGAGCCACCATGTGGTTGCTGGGAATTGAACTCAGGACCTCTGGAAGAGCAGTCACTGCTCTTAACCCCTAAGCCATCTCTCCAGCCCCCACGTTACTGTTTTTTGAGATAGGTTTTTCTCTGTGTAACAGTCCCAACTGTCCTAGAACTCACTCTGCAGGCCAGGCTGGCCTTGAACTCAGAGATCCACCTGCCTCTGCCTGCTGGGATTAAAGGTGTATGCCACCATGCCTGTTTTCTAAGTATTTTTACCCATGGTTGGCTCACTGTAGCGATTTCAACAGATACAGATAATAAATATTGAAGAAGGCAGGCAGTAGTGGTGCACACCTTTGATCCCAGCACTCAGGAGGCAGAGACAGGCAGATCTCTGTGAGTTCCAAGACCAGCCTGGTCTACAGAGTGAGATCCAGGACAGTCAGGGATATAGAGAGAGATTGTCTCAAAAAACAAAAACAAAAAAAAAAAAAAAAAAAAACTCAACGTGATTGCACTGGATAACGGCCATCATTAATTAAGTTCAGGTGGCCATCCTGAACTCAGGTGGCTGGCTCCGGCAGCAGGGAAGACTGAGGATAGAAGCTAGGACTTTGGCGATGCAGAGTAAAGGCTCTACCACTAAGTCACACCCCAGCTGTGTATTGTTTTAAACCACTAAATTAAAGGAAATACTATTACACAGCAATTGCTAAATAACATATATCCTGTTTCTTGTGGGTCCTCATGGTCACTATCTGCTTCCAAGATCATTACAAGGACAAACTGAACTCAGCACAGCTGTGACACTCATGCTTTTAGTTTATTACATTGAAAGGCTAAACAATAAAAAGAATAATAGCAAAGACACACAAGGTAGGGTCCAGGAAGGCTCCCTTCTCACTAGTCATTGAACAGTGCTCCACCCTCCCAACAGTGGTACAGGGGGACATATATAGTGTATGCTAGCTAGGGATATTTATCTAGCTATGCTGTGGCATTGGGCTTTCAAGGGGGGGGAGTGTCAGTCATATAAGTGTGACTTGCTGGCCACAGGCTGATTGAACCAACAGTCCCAGATGAGGCCTAAGTGAAAGACAATGGTCCAAAGTCACTCTTATTAGGCAGGCTATTTTTTCCTTTAAAGATTTATTTGTTTTATTATTATGCATACAACAGTCTGCCTTCATGTATTCCTACAAGCTAGAAGAGGGCAAGAGATCTCTTTATAGGTGGTTCTGAGCCACCATGTGGTTGCTGGGAATTGAACTCAGGATCTCTGGCAGAGCAGTCAGTGCTCCCAACCTTTGAGCCATCTCTCTAGCCCATAGGCAGGCTATTCTGAGGCCTTAGAGATCAGCTTCAGGATCTCTTTCCAGGCCAGCTCTTTCTCTGAAATGCCCAAGGTTCAAAGCGCTCAATCCTGTTTAGTTTATCTTGTCCCACACAAAAAAGAATAACTTCAGAAGTGAGTGGAGTCATATCATGTAATCTAAGGTGGCCTTGATTTTGCTGACCAGGCTGGCCTAAAACTTGCAGTGATCCTCCTGCCTCCACTTCCCAAGTGCTAGGGTTACAGACATGTACTACCATATCCAGTTTCCTTAAGTGGAATGAATTCTCTAGTTGCCCCTAAACAGAGAGTCTAGGAAGCCACTATTCTAACCCCATGGTTACCTGCTTTATTTCCAGGTAGTTTCCAGGACTTAAGCCATATAGCCAGAATGCAGGGTGCAGCGGGGAGGAGACAGAGACCTCACATTCATACAGAAGCGTCTCTTGGTCAGAGACTGAGTAGAAGGCAAGCTTCCCCAGCTCAAGGTCCAGCCACACGCCCACAACCTCAGGGCGACCTAAGTGAAGGTCAGTTTTCTTCTCCATGGCCCAAGCAGAGAACTGGCCAGGCCCTTTCCACTCTATGCACCAAGAATCTTTAGTCCTTCCCAGCATCTGGTTCCGCTTCATGCTCCACGAAGCCACCCCAACAGCCCAGTGGTTGCAGTTCCTAGTGTCCACTTCCCAGTACTTCCGACCAGAAGAGAGAGCCTGGGAACACAAGACCTGGCTAATTAAAAATCTCTCAGGGCTCCAAAGATAGGGCTGATGACAATGAGACACAGTCACTCTCCGGCAACTGTTAGAAACCTCCAGGTTACAGGAGAGGCTCCCCAAGTCGAAGGTTGGACTGATGGCCCCTGGGGAGAAATAAACACCAAAAGAACATAGACAGTCAGTTATTTTTTACACTTGTGTGTGTGAGTGTTTTGCCTGTATGTATGTGCATACATGTGCATGTGCATATATGGGAACACATGCAGTTACCACAAAGCCAAGGAGAGTGTATTAGATCCTCTAGGACTAGTTCCAGACAATAATGAGACACCAAGAGGGTGCTGGGAACCAAACCTGGGTCCTCTGGAAGAGCAGCCAGTGCTCATAACCACTGGACCTTCCCTCCAGTTAAGGGTAGTCTGTTTATGACCATCCATGCTGGAAGTCTTTCACTCAATAGCAAAAAGTAGCATTTTTTGGAGGGTTGTTTGCTATGTTAAGTGCTAATATCTGAATATCATGTCTTCTCTACTCCAAACATTTCTTCCTCTCCCTCCCTTCTGATCTCTCATGCACACATAAGGCAATTCTACCCTTGCAAAGATGAGAGAATGGAGGCCCTAAGAGGTAGGTTGTCTGGGCTGGCACAGCTATCTAACGGAGTTGCTGGAGTCAAAATCAGGGCTCCAGGGTGCACATGTTCTGAAGGACCCATCTAGCCTGGGACAAGTCAGCACCTGTGTAAGTAGAGAAATAAACAGGCAGCTGTAACTGATGATGCCAGCATGGATGTGCTTCGGATCTAAGTGCTCAAGGACCTAGCTGAGCCTGGAATTTGGGACTCTCAAATCCTCTTTGCCTTTATATTAAACTCTCCATATCAAGGAACCTAGTCCAGAAGAAAACACATCCAAAAGTATAAAGTCAAAGATTAGGTCCCACAGCAAGGAGATGAGCACAGCACATTCCTGAAATCCCTCCATACTGCATATACATAAGGCTTTTTGGTTGTTTATTTATTTATTTTATGTGCATTGGTGTGAAGGTATCAGATCCCTTGAAACTGGAATTACAGACAGTTGTGAGCTGCCATGTGGGTGCTGGGAATTGAACCTGGATCCTCTGGAAAAGCAGACTGTGGTTTTAACCACTGAGACATTTCTCCAGCCCCATATATAAGTAGTTTTATTTATTTTTTTTTTTTACCAGACTGAGTCTCATGTAGCCCAGGCTGGCCTCAAATCATGCAGCTAAGGATAATCTTGAAACACTGACCCCCTGCCTCTACCTCCCAAGTTCTAGGATCACAAGCATGCATCACCACACCTGCTTTATGCAGTGCTGGGGGCTGAACCTAGGCTTTGTGCATGCTGGGAAAGTACTCTGTCTATTGAGTTATTTTGTTGTTGTTTTGTTTTTCAAGACAGGGCTGCTCTGTGTAGCCTTGGTTGTCCTAGAACTAATTCTACAGATCAGGCCAGGCTTAAACTCACTGAGCATCACCTGCTCCAGCCTTCCTAGTGCTGGCATTGAAGGCATGCACCACCACTGCCTGACTAATCTACTGAGTTATATCCCATCCCTAGTAAGGTATGTTTAAGTGGACCTCATACTTACATAGGGCAAACTGAGAAGATTTCCTGGGTACAGGACACCTTTGGTCAGGCAGCTGGCATAAGGAAGAAGATGGCATTTCTAGGAATTAAAAGAATAATTGGGAGGAGGAAGCTCCATTAGCAAAAGGCAAACTGAAGGTATCCAACTGTCATGATATGGGCACAGGCTGGCATTTTTTCTCATTAGCACATTTCTAGGTGTCTGGATTGTAACTGATACTGATACCACATTTCAGACCAAATATATCACTGTGGAACTTTTTTTTTTTTTAACTGTTTCCCCCACAAAACCCCAAACTCCTTGCTAGCAGAGATCTTTTGTTTGTTTGTTTATTTTTGTTTTGTTTTTTTTCCAGACAGGGTTTCTCTGTGGCTTTGGAGGCTGTTCTGGAACTAGCTCTTGTAGACCAGGCTGATCTCAAAGTCACAGAGATCCGCCTGCCTCTGCCTCTTGAGTGCTGGGGTTAAAGGTGTGCACCACCACTGTCCAACTGCTAGCAGAGATCTTGTTCATCTCTATGTTTTAAGCATTAAGACCCATTGAACCCCAGAGACAGAAAGCTTTTTATGTATATTTATCAAATAAATTAATATAGTTCCAGGAGATTGTAGCACCCTCATATCAGGAATACTCACAACCTCCATACTTTAACACACTAAACTATTATTATCTAAGCCAGATAACCTGAACCAATGTAAGGTTCATGTCAACTACTGACACCTCCAACTCCCTCTTCATGTTCCAAAGTTGAATTGGTTTTTCTTGCTTTGTTTTGACACAGGGCTTCTCTGTATAGCCTTGGTTGTCCTGGAACTCACTCTATAGAACAGGCTGGCCTTGAATTCACAGAGATCCGACTGCATCTGCCTCCCAAGGGCTGGGATTAAAGGTGTGCATCATCACCATTTGGCCAAACTTTAATTAACTTAAGCAATTATATATGCTAGACCATAATGACCATGGGGAGGCATGGAGAGAGAAAGTAAGGGAAAACCTACAGCATGGCAAAGGTGAAATCTTCCACTTGGATCTTTTTTTTTTCATTTGTGTATGTGAGATGTGTGCATGTGTATATGTAAATTTTTGCATGTGGAGGTGCTTGTGCATGTGTGTGTGCATGGGTGTATGTGAAGGCTTCATAGTGGTATTGAGAATCACCCTCAATCACTCTTTCACCTTATTCATTGAGATAAGGTCTCTCAGTCAAACCCAGAGCTTGTCTGTCTGGTCAGCCTTGCTAGCCAGCTTGCTCTGGGGATCTCTTATCTCTTCCTTCCCAAACTGGAATTACAGATGAGCCTCTACAACCACCTGGCATTTATAAGGGTTCCAGGGATCCAAACTCCAATCCTCACACTTGTGCAACAAATGATTTGAGCACCAAGCTGTCACTCCAACCCTTAATTTGCAGAATAAAGCAAATTTAAGGAGTTTGAGGACAGCCTGGGCAACATAAAGAGACCTCAAACTGAGAACAGGGGCTGGTCAGGAGCTGGAGAGAAGACTCAGCAGTTACGAGTGCTTGCTGCTCTTGTTGAAGACCTTGGTTTGGGCCCCAGCATCCATATGCTCTCAGCCATCCCTAACTCCAACCCCAGGGATCTGATGTTCTCGCCCTCTTCTGACCTTTGAGGGCACTAGACATACACATGCTGCACAGATATACAGCAGGTAAACTGTTAGTATTCAGGCATCTGTACTGCCCTGTCTTTGAGGTTCTGACAGGATTCACCCTCAGCTGCAGCCACTAAGAGCACCTCCTGTGCACATTCACTATGTTACTTTTTAAAAGGGACCTGCCCACCTCCCATCTTTCTCTCTGTGTCTGTTTCTCTCTCTTTCTCCCCTCTCCCCTCCCTCCTTTTCCATTCCATTCCCCCCAATAAAGGAAAACCCTCCAAGTGAGCTTGTTCATGTCTATCTCTCTCTCTCTCCACCTTTTAAATAACAACACAAACACCCACACACAGGAAATAAATCTAAAACAATGAAAGCAGGGGCCAGAGATGATTCAGCTGGTAAAACACCTCTTGCTTAGCCCAACATCCTGAGCTGACTTCCCTACACATGTGAGCCGAGCAGGCACATGCCCACCACCATCACCACATATGTAAGTAAAAATGAAAACAAAAAGTCCAAATCAGCCTATTTCCAGACTCCTCTGGGAAAAAACAAAGATGAGCCATAACCTAGGATCCGGGTTCACAAGTCTTAAAAAATGTGAGTTTGCTTTACTCAGGGTCTATGATACAGAAAATGCCCCAAATGTACACAGCCAGGACCATACCTCAGCCCACTCCTACTCAACTTACACCACCACAGTGAAAAGCAGCCGTGGTCTGGGTCCTGTCCTCAAAGAACAAGACAGGGGCACTGGGCCATTCCCACCCAACTTCCGTAATCAGTCAGTCCTGCTCAACTAAGTGGCATCAGCTCACCCTGAACTTGTTCTCCAGGAGCAGCTTCTTTCCATGTGACACTCCCTTCCAGTGTTTTCTGAATTTCTTCTAGGTTTTGGAGAATCTCTTGAATCTTCCTCTCAGAGGCACTGGACATTACTAGCTTTGGAGAACTCAAGGAATGTTTCTCCTCCGAGGGAGAAGCCTATTGATGAATGAGGAAACAAGTGAATGAAAGCCAACTATGGAACTCATCAAATATGCTCAAGGGCAGCCTTCCATCTATAGTCTTCTTTTCATTTAAGTCTAATCAGGCTTTTAAAAACAAAACCAGGGGCTGGAGAGATGGCTCCATGATTAAGGGCAATGGCTGCCCTTCCAGGACCCACATTGCAACCTCCGCAGGCACCAGCCATGCATGTGGGCACAGACATACAAGCAGGTAAAACAACCATACACATAAAAACAAACAAACAAACAAACAAACAAATAATATTCCCTAGCAGGATGTGGTAGCTCATGCTTGTAATGCAAGCACTTAAAAGTTCTGAATAAATCGTGTGTGTGTGTGTGTGTGTGTGTGTGTGTGTGTGTGTGTGTGTGTGTTTCGAGACAGGGTTTCCCTGTAGCTTTGGAGCCTGTCCTAGCTCTTGTAGACCAGGCTGATCTCGAACTCACAGAGATCCACCTGCCTCTGTCTCCTAAGTGCTGGGATTAAAGGCTTGTGACAACACCGCCCAGCTCTGAATGAATCTTAAAAACAAAATTAAGAAAGAGCCTTGAAGCAAGAGGACTGTTATGAGGTTAACATTAACCTGGGCTACAGAGTAAGACTCTGTCTCAAATAAAACAAAAGGCATGATGTTTCAGCATTTTTTTTCCCACAATTTTTTTTCTTTTTTTCAAGACAGGGTTTTTCTGTGTAGCCCTGGCTGTCCTGGAACTTGTTCTGTAGATCAACCCAGGTCCTCTGGAAAAGCAGCAAGTGCTTTTAACTACTGAGCCATCTCTCTTCTTTTTGCACAAGATTTATAATTTATTAATGTATTTTTTTATGGTGCTAGGGATCAAATCCAGAGCCTTGTACATGAACTTGACTACTAAACCAAATCCCCAGTCTATAAGATCCATTTCTGTTATTTTTGTTGTTGTTGTTATGTGTATGTGGGGAGAGAGAGAGAGAGAGAGAGAATGTGTGTGGTATGTGTACACACAGAAAAGAATATCAGGTTTTCTGCTCTACCACTCTCTACCTTATTCCCTGGAGACAGAGTCTCTCACTGAACCTGGAGTGAGGCCAGTCACAGTAATCTCATTCCCCCAGCCCTGACACACTTGTAACCCCAGTTCCAAGATCACAGTAACATCACTGTGTCTTGCCCCAAGTTCAGGGAGAGACCCTGCCTAGCCTCTGACTGCACAAGTCAGAAAATTGTAGCTGTAATCACTGATAAAAATAAATAAACAAAAGGCATAAGGAATCTGATAGGGAATTTGACTCATTCAAAGCAATCAGTGAAGGCTTCTCTCTCAGAGAGTGCTGATTTAGGGCATGGCAGAGGTGTAGTCATTCCCTAGGTGATGAATAATGGAAGCAAATGTGGTGAAAGGCATTCCATAGTGGGAAGAAGCAAGATATCCTACAGGAACTGACTGGGCTTGGGTGGTTAGAGCACACAGAGCCAGGAGGTCAGAAGGGCTGTGGTCAGGAAAGGACAGAGGCATGGGATCCCATATGGTTTGCTAGGGTCTTAATCCCAAAAAGACAGTCACTGCCATAGTTTGGATCATACATGGCTCCCCAAAGGCCATCTAGTAATGCTTAATTCCCAGGATGCCATAACTGGGTTGATGGAATCTTTAGGAGGTGGAGCATAGTAAGCTCTTTGAGCCATTGGGGCCATGAGCCACTCCTTTCCTCTACCTCTCCTCTACTCCCCAGCCATGAGGTTGTGAGATTCTGCACACTACATGTTTCTGTCATTGCTCCTGGGCTCCTGTAAGCAGAGAGCTAAAACAGCCTTTTTATTTTCAAAACCTGACTGATTATCTCTGGTTAAGCAAACATCATCAGAGTATTTCAAGCAGATGAGTTACATGGTCATATCTGTGTGAAAAGAGTCGACTAACATAGAGTGGAACATTTGCAGGGCTGTGGTGACAATCCAGGCAAAAGATCATCCATCACAGGCTTGGACTAGAGGAGCTCAGAGAATAGATTTGGAAGATAACTTCGGCTGGCCTTGGAACTACATTGTACTGCTAGGCGGGTTAGGTTAGTGGAGAGGAATTGACATGACTCCATGCTTCTTGTTTGAGTATTTGGAAGAATGAGATCAAGACTGTAATGGAAAATCCCCAGAGGACTGGAGCATTTAACTGTGATGGTTTTGAGAAACCCAAGAGGAAAAGTTGAGATTTAAGAAAGTAGTGAAAGCAGGAGGATCAGGAGTTCAAGGCCAACTTTCTGAGTTCAAGGCCAGTCTAGCGATCCTGTCACATAAAACAAAAGCAAATAACAGCAGCCTGAAGACTGAGCACAGTGGGGATACTCAGGAGGTGGTTTAGGAGTACCATGAATTCATGTTGAAAGCTAAACTGGACAGCACAACAAAATCTCATCTCAAAAGGAGAAAGGGGGCTTAGCAAGATGGTTCAGCTCATAAAAGTGTTTGCTGCACAAACTTCTCACCCTGAGTTAGATCCCTGGGATCTACAGTGGAAGATGAGAATGGATTCCTGAAAGTTATGCTCTGATCTCCCCTACAAACACATACCCACCCCAACATACACACACACACACACACACACACACACACACTCCCGCCTCTGCACACACATACTCCCCACTATACACACAAGCTCTTCCCTCCATACAATAATGAAATATTTTTTTAAAAGGTTACTGACTAGGTCTGGAGAGTTAACTTGGCAGTTAAGAACATTTGTTGCTCTTGCTATGACCTGAGTTTTTTCATAGCACCTACATGATGGCTCATACTCATCTGTAACTTTTATTCCAGGGGGTCCAACACCCTCTCTGACCTCATATATATATTGATGCAGACAAAACACCCATACACATAAGATAAAAACATCTTTTTAATAACTTAAAGGTCACTGAAGATAAGGACTTTCAAATTTGTGGAATTTACCAAGAGCTTTTTGGTGATTTTAGAGAGTTGACTCGGTAGAGTGGGAAGGATGGATCCCAGGCTACTTGAAGCTTCCATTAACTCATGTCCAGCATGCTAGATTTCCAATCACCCATATTTAGCAGTAAAGAGAAGCATGAGACCTGTGGCATCCCATGTGTTATACTGCTCCAGCTAGAAGCTGTGAACCTACCATGCCCAGGATGCCTAGTTCACTGTCCAGTCTGGATCCCGACCTCTGTCTTGGTGTTTGAAGGCTCTTGACAACGTCTACCAGCCGCTGCACCAGTTCTGTCAGCTCCTGGATGACTTCTTCTGTGGTGCTTTTCTGTACTGTCACCTTTAAAAGAGTGAAACTGGGCTTCTGGGTCCCAAAAACAGCACCCAGGACCACCACTCAATAAAGGGAGCTATACATGCCAAAGTAGCACCATGAAAGAAAACATTTAGAGTGATGGAAACGAAGAGAGAGCCAAGAAACAAATCTCCAGATATATCATGAAATAATTTTTTACAAGAATGCCAAGACTACTTAAAGGTGCAAGAAGTCTTTTCAACAAATACTAACTAGAAATGTATATCCCTATACCAATGAATGAAGTTATATTCTTTTGTTTGTTTTTGAGACAGGTTGTCTCTCCATAGTCCTGGCTATATTTGGAGCTATGTAAGTAGATCAGGCTGGCTTGAAACTCACAAAGATCTGCCTGCCTCTGCCTCCCTGCTGGGATTAAAGGAATGTCTCACCATGCCCTTCTTGAAGTTAGATTCTTACCTAATACTATACAGAAAATTAAATGAGGTTGGATGAGAATGCATGCCTGGTACATCTGAGGCCCTCAGATCAGTCCCCAACTGAAAAGAGTAAATTGGAAATAGGAATTCAATTGTAAGATAATGTACATTGTAGCAGTAGTTATAATAGTCAAATGTAGAAATAATTGAAATGTTCATTACTAGATAAATTGATTAGAAAGTGATATATCTACATAGATGGCATGACAGCCACCTAAAGGAAGGGTGTTCTGATACATGCTACAACATGTATTAGCTCTGAAAATATTATGGGAATGAAAGAAGTTAGACATGGGCTAGAGAGATGGCTCAGAGGTTAAGAGCACTGGCTGCTTTCCCTGAGGTCCTGAGTTCAATTCCCAGCAAGCACATGGTGGCTCAAAACCATCAGTAATGAGATCTGGTGCCTCCTTCTCTCATGCAGGCAGAACACTGTGTACATAGTAAACAAATCTTTAAAAAAGTGGGGGAGAGACAGGAGAGAGAGATAGAAAGAGAGAGAGCGAACAAGGGAGAGAGAGGAGGTAATGAGGGAGAAAGAGAGGTATATACCAGGGCAAGAAGCCAGGCAGCTACCAGCTGCTAGACAAAAGAAGCAGGGAAAGCAAGATAAATAGAAGGAAAGAAAAGTAAAAAGCTTGAGGCAAAAGGTAAAAAGAAGAGTAACAGGTTAATTTAAAGAGCTAGCCAGAAACAAGTCTAAGGTAGGCTGAGTGTTCACAACTAATAAGAAGGCTCCCTGTCAAGCCTAGTAGCAGTGACCCAACCTTTAATCCCAGCACTTGGGAGGCAGAGGCAGGTGGAGCTCAGTGAGTCCAAGGCCAGCCTGGTCTACAAACCTGTCTCGAAAAACAAACAAAGAAGTTTCCGTGTCATATTTGGGAGCTGATTGGTGGCTCAAAAGAATACAGTAGTTGAGACATGTGAGGAGGCTGGAGGGACGGGAATCAGGTGTTATTGCTTAGTGGGTACAGAGGTCCTATTTGCAGTGATGAAATCACTTTGGCAACAGCGGTGACAGATGCACAGTATTGGAGATATGGCAAGTGCCATCGAACTGTACACTAAAAAAATTGTTCAAGTGGTTGGCCTGTCATGGTGGCACATGCCTTTAACCTCACCTCTTGAGAAGCAGAGGCAAGCAAGCAGAGCTCTATGAGGTCAAGTGATTCACACCTGTAATCCCAGACTTGGAAAGACAAGGAGGCAGAGATTATTACTCACTTCAGGTTCAAGGCCAGCTTGGTCTACACTAGTTAAATCCCATCCCGATAAATAAATAGGATTAGACAATGTTAAAATGGCAAAATTTATGGTGAATACACACACACACACACACACACACACATACATATATATATTAAAACACACATATGCATATATTCTACCACACTAAAATTTTTTCAGACATCACAGAAAGGCTAGCAGGAAATAGAAATATGCAAGGGTGCACCACAACTCGGTTGAATGGGATTCAGATTTTTTAACTATTGTGAGATTTTTAACTATTGTTTGTGACCAGACCTTACTATGTAGCTTTGGCTGAAGGGGGGCATGCCCGTCTCAGCCTCCCAAATCCTGGGATTACAGGCGTGCGGTCTCCACGCTGAGCATTTCAACTTCTTTATACAAATCTGAACTTCTCAAAGATTCTTCCTAACACAGATTAAATTGATAAAATCACGTAGCGGAAGAAGAGATCGGGAAAGCAGGAGAGGCCCAAGGGGGCGCACGCGGGCTGCCAGAGTGGTGTGGGCTTCCTACCGGCGGCGGCATGGGACGACTCGGCGACCCGGGCGCGGGCCCAGTTTCGGGGCCAGCCTCGAGCTCGAGCGCCGCTCGGCGGTACTTGTCCGCCAGGTCCTGCAGCAGCAGGTTCTTGCGCAGCTTTGGCTTCGCCTCGGGGCACTCCCGGCAGGTGGGGCAGGCCCAGGGGCGGCCCTCAATGCCCGCGCGCTGCGTAACCCACAAGCCATTGAGGCACCGCTGGCAGAAGCTGTGGCCGCAGGGTAGCGTGGCCGGCCAATCCAGCAGCTCTCGGCAGATAATGCAGCCCAGGTCCTCCTCGCTCAACCACACAGGAACCGACGTACCTAGGCCTGAGGCCGCCATACTGGGCGGTGGCCAGGATGCCCAGTAAGGCTCCACTCTGCCCCACCCACTTTACTAGTTTCGCCCCGCCCACCGTATACCCCGCCCAGTCACTCTCAGTCTTCCCAGCTAGCTGGAGTTGTTGCTAGGTAGCTGACCTCCAGCCTGGAAAATCACTTCTCAATCTTCTGGCTTCCACTCCTCCATCCATCAACATGCAACCCCAACAACCTAAGCTATGAAGAGGGTTCGCTTCAGGAACTCACTTTAGGGTCGTACCCAGTAAGTGTTGCATTTATTTCCTGAGATCTGTGCAAACAAAACAAACAAACAAAAAATTGAATAGGTGCAGCCTCAGTTGCTTTGTATTTTGAGATAGATGTAATTTGAGGTGAGGATGAATTCAGAATTTTTGTTTCTGTTTTTTCTTTTCGAGATAAGGTTTCTCTGCGTGTATCCCTCCCTGGCTGTCCTGGAACTCGCTCTCTAGACCAGGCTGGCCTCAAACTCCCAGGGATCTGCCTGCCTCTAGCCTCCCAAGTGCTGAGATTAAAGGTATGCATCATCACCGCCTGACTACTTTTTATAACTTTATTTATTATTTAATATGTGCATTGGTTTTTTGCCTGCACATGTGTTTGTCGGGTCCCCTGGAACCGGAGTTACAGACAGTTGTGAGCTGCCATGTGACTGGGAATTTCACACCTGTCCTCTGGAAGAGCAGTCCGTGTTCTAAACAGTTGAGCCATCTCTCCAGCCCCCAGAAATTATTTTTAATAATCTCCCAGCATGGTTTTTACTGGATTTTTTAAAAAATATTTTATTTTGGTCCGGTCAGTGGTGGCATACTCCTTTAATCTCAGCACTCAGAAGGCGGAGGCAGGTGGATCTCTATAGCTTTGAGACCAGCCTGATCTACAGAGATAGTTCCAAGACAGTCAGGACTACACAAAGAAACCCTGTCTCAAAATAATAACAAAAGACAAAACAAAACAAAAAACCTAATAAGTAGGAAAAAACAAACAACCAAGCAAATAAGCAAGCAAATGAACAAACAAAATTAACTTTTTTTTTTTTATTTTTGAGGTTATACCAAAAAACACTTTTAAAAATTTAAATCCAGACTCCCGTGGAGAAAGGCTCTGGGGCAGTCAGTTCTAGCGTGTTGCAGTCACGATTGCCCAGCTTGGGGCCCTACCCGAACAGTCGCCATCAGAATGTCGGGCAAGGACCGGATCGAAATCTACCCTTCGCGAATGACACAGACCATCATGAAAGCTTGATTAAAAGGGGCACAGACTGGTCGAAACCTCCTGAAGAAAAAAATCTGATGCCTTAACTCTTCGATTTCGACAGATTCGGAAGAAGATAATAGAGACTAAAATGCTGATGGGTGAAGTGATGAGAGAAGCTGCCTTTTCATTGGCAGAGGCCAAGTTCACAGCAGGAGACTTCAGCACCACAGTTATGTTATCCAAAATGTAAATAAAGCACAAGTGATGATCCCAGCCAAAAAAGACAATGTAGCAGGTGTTATGCTACCGGTGTTCGAACATTACCATGAAGGAACTGACAGCTATGAACTGACGGGTTTAGCCAGAGGTGGGGAACAGCTGGCTAAACTGAAGAGGAATTATGCCAAAGCCGTGGAATTACTGGTGGAGCTGGCTTCACTTCAGACTTCCTTTGTTATTCTGGATGAAGCCAGTAAGATGACAAACAGGCGTGTAAAATGCCATTGAACATGTTATCATTCCCCAGATTGAACGCACCCTTGCCTATATCATCACAGAGCTGGATGAGAGAGAGCGAGAAGAATTCTATAGGTTAAAGAAAATACAGGAGAAGAAAAAGATTATCAAGGAAAAATTCGAGAGGGAGTTGGAGCAGCGGGGAGCAGCTGGAGAAGTGATGGAGCCCACCAACCTGCTGGCTGAGGAGAAGGACGAGGACCTGCTGTTGGAGTAATGGCCCCTTTGCTTCGTCAGACCCAGCACCAGCTCCATCTTAACCCAGTGTGTAGGTTCGTTATGTGAGGGTATTTATTTTGGCACAAGAATCCCCCGGCTGTAAGATTTATCAGGATGCCCTGTGAGACTATTTCTCCTACATCATGATTCAGCAACCACTTCTCACAGTTGAATGAGATGTGTAAAACTTGTCCAGTAACTTACATAATTTCCTCTGTGAAAATGTCATATGATTCTGTTTACAGTAGCTTCACTGGTACTTACAAGCATTCGTGGTTTCTTGGTGGCAGCCTTTGTTTCTACCCACTTGCAAACCTTGGCACTGTTGTCTGAGACTTCGCAGCCACTGTTGTGTTACTGTGGTCTTCTTAGCTCTACATTTATTTTTCTTTGCACAATAAGTCTGTCTGTAATGGAAGCAGCTCTGCCCATTTAAATGCGACTTATGAACAGAGTAAAATGATTTTAAAAACAAAAAAAATTTAAATCCACTTTATTTTTAGACAACCTTCATCACATGTTTTTTTCTTAAAAATAAAGGAAGAAAGTCTCCATCCCAGATAAATCATAATCAAAATAAAAGCTCAAGATGAACTCAGTCCCATTTGTCCTAGGTCCTAGTGTTGAATGGATGGTAAGCAGCAGCCGGTTATGATGTCAGGTGATAGATCCCATTTGTTAACATTTGTCTGTCTCTAAACCATCCTTACAGAAATTCATAAATGGAGTCACATCATCTTCACCGGAGACCAGGAGAGCAACCATACCATCTCGATTCATGTTCTCACCAATTAAAAAAAAAAACCCCAAACTGGTAGTTATTGAAATCAGCAAGGATGTGCTTAATTTGCTCTGCAGCCCAAGTCATAAAAGGCTTTACTTTTTCAGGTTTCTGTTCTTCACATTTGCCTTTGAGTGCGTTCATATAATTTTTGGTGTACTTTTTTGTGGGTCTCTTTTGTGAAGCTGGTTTCTTGTAAGTGGTGGTTCACGACAATAAATATCAACACTTTCGATACCTTCTCCCTCTGGGCCTTCGACTGAAGCATTTCCACTGATGTGTGCATCATCAATATTGCCCTCTGTTCTACTGTCCATCTTGCCCTTTTCCTCCAGGCACAGCCGGTCCGTGGTCTCCAGGATCTTTTAGATGTCAGAGAACAGCTTGTCATGGCTGATGAGGTCCTGGTAGATGGTCCTGGTGGCGGCTGGGGACAGAAGCGCTAGCCTGACAGAGCTGAGCAAGCGCAGTGCAACCCAAGAGGTGCTCAGGGGCAAGGGAGAGAGATGGAAAAGCTAAAAAGACCTTTTTCTAAGGCTTGTCAAGTGAATCTCAATCCTAACCAGTTAAGCTTCTACTTAGAGGTATTTTTGTTTAACATTATATATTCAGAAAGGAAAAATTAGGCCCTTGTTCATTTCAATACATCTTTGGCAGGCTAATATTTTTGGAAGGATTTTATCTTACATGCTTGAAATATGTTTGAAAATTTGGAGGAGTTAATGGAGCTCATTGAATTTATGAAGAATATTTACCACTTTAACTAAAAACAGCCTGTCAAATAAAATTCATCTGTTGTTCAAGTTGAAAAGGGTTGGGGGTGGGGTGGGGCTAGAGGTATAAAGCAGATGGTAGAGTCTTCACCTTGTGCTTGAAGCCCTGGGTTCGACCTCCAGCACTGAGCAAGGTGCCACAGTCCTGTGATCTCAGTACTCAGTAGAGGGAAGAGGACCAGAAGTTCAAGGTCATCCTTAGCTGCACAGTCAGTTGGAGGCCAGCCTGGGGTACATATTAATTTCTCTCAAAGAATAAAATAGGGCCAGGTGATGGAAGCGCAAGCCTTTAATCCCAGAACTCGGGAAGCAGAGGCAGGCAGATCTCTGTGATTTTGAGGCCAGCCTGGTCTACAGAGAGTTCCAGAAGGCAGAGCTGTTATAAAGGAAGCCTGTCTTGAAAAAAACAAAACAAAAAATATACATTAGGATGGGTTCTCACCAGGTAAAGTGTTTTTAATGCAAGCATGACACACGAATTTGATCCTGGAACCCACAGAAAGGTGCAAAGGGTCGCTTCTCACAACATATATGCTGCACAGACATTCTCACACATACACACAGGTATACAATAATAATAACTAACACAAAGGAGGGAAACAGTATTTTTGCCTTGGAGGCCACTTCTACTCTTGAGAATTCTTGCCTCATTTTTTTTTCTTAAAAACAAAACAAAACTACATTTGCTCTGCTTAAAAATAAATAAGTATAATAAAGATAGAGAGGTAGCCTCAGAGACCAAGACAGAGAGATCCAGACAGATGTTAGGACCCAAGCCAGACCACATGCTGTATCTCACTGGGATTTCTTGTCACTCCTCTGCTGCTCTGAGGGACACACCCACCTAGATGACCTCTCCCTTTGTAATCAGCTGCATTACTGCTTATTTACTGCCCCTTTGGGTGATGAGATCCTTCAGCCTGGAAGTCATGCCTTTACTCATTTCCTCACGTAGACACCCCCCCCAGGAGCATTAAGAGATACTCATCTGATGAAGGCAAATGAGTGTCTCTTAATGCATGCTCTACAGTGGTCCTCAGCCTTCCTAGTGCTGCAACCTTTTTATACAGTTCCTTATATTGTAGCAACCCCCAATCATAAAATTATTTTTGTCACTACTTCATAACTATAATTTTGGTACTATTATAAATCGTAATGAAAAGGTTTTGGGGATAGAGGTTTGCCAAAGGGGTTGAGACCCACAGGTTGAGAACTACTCCTCTAGCAGGTACTGTAGCAGATGTATCCAAAGAGTTTTAGCAGCTAAAGAGGACCCATCTCCCCGGGGAGATTCATTCTGGAAAGAGAAATCCAGAATTTGTATTGCTGCTTCTTTGGGGGAATTCAAAGAAAGACAGTAAATTCAGAGAACCTCACCAGACATGAAAGCACATGTCTGTAATTTCAGCACAGACAGGCAGATGTCTGGAAGCTTGAGGCCAGCCTGCTCTACATAGTGAGTTCAAGAACAGGCAGGACCACATAGAGACCCTGTCTCAAAAACGAAAACAAGGCCAGCCTGGGCTACATGAGACTCTATCATTTAGAATGAATATGTGTGTGTGTGTGTGTGTGTGTGTGTGTGTGTGTGTGTGTGTGTGTATACATACATACATACATATATATCTTGTAAAAACCATCTCAGTCTGTTGGACAGACCGGAGAACATCCAGTACTTCTCTTCATTTTTCCTGAAAGGAGAAGAAACAAACCACCAAACAGGAAGCTTGGGCATGTTTCTCTTCACATTTCAGACATATAAAAATCTTTAAGTTCTCTTTTCCTAGCTTGAAGCCTTTGAGCATTTTCTTCCCTAAACTTGATACATTTTCCTTACCCCTTCTCTTTGATTAATCTCTACACAGTTTGGAAATTTTCAACTTTAATGTCACTTTCTGGAGAGGGAGGAAGGCTTCCCTGCTCCCTATTTCTTTCAGGTGGCTGGTTGCTACTCACCACTGCCCACTGCAGCCTGAGCACTTTCCGCTTGCTGCCCCCTGCAGGCTGCAATACGTAACAGCAGGGACTGCGCTTGGAAAGGGATCAAATACTATAATTTACTTTGGGTTTCGACAATCAGTGTCTCTTCCCCTATTTTATTCTTCTTTTCTTGAAGGTTAAACTTATTTTTTAAACGTTTGCACATGTGTGTGATCATGGAGGCCAGAGAAGATGGATCCCAACCCCCCCCCCACACACACACACACACACTCTCGGAGTTGAAGTCACAGGCTAATGTGGTTGCTGGGAATTCAAACCCTCTGGGAGAGCAGAAAGTGCTCCTAACTGCTGAGCCATCCAACTTACTGACTTCCTCATTTTAAATATAAAAAGTAAGACAAATAGTGAAGTGACTTTTCTTGTGTTCTCAAGATTACTTTTTAGCCTGTTTTCTTTCATCCACTGTGATAATGAAGATGGCATCATCTTCTCGTTATCTCAGTTTCTATTTCTTCTCAAATGTGCACAAAAATGGAGTTTTATGAGGAGCGTTTTTTTTTTAAGGAATTTACTTAACTTTTTATTTTATGTGCATTGGTATCAGATACCCTATAATTGGAGTTACAGACAGCTGTGAGCTGCCATGTGGGTACTGGAATTGAACCCAGGTCCTCTAGCAAGAGTAGCCAGTGCTCTTAAAAGCTGAGCCATCTCTCCAGTCCCCTCTGAGGAACTTTTTAAGATCTTTCTTTGAGATTGTCAGCCCTTTAATCCCAGTATCTGGAGAAGGAGGCAGGCAGATTTCTTTGAGTTCAAGGCCAGTCAAGTCTACAAATCGAGCTCCAGGACAGCCAGAGCTATGTGCAGAGAAATTCTGTCTTGAAAAAAAAAAAGTATGTGTTTGACCCACATTGTGCATACAATGCCTGTGGAGGCCAGAACAGAAGAGGGCGATGGATCATACAGAACTGGAGTTACCATTGTGAGCCTCCATGTGGATGTCAGGAACTAGAATCCTCTGTCAATGCAGCAAGTGCTCTTAAACACTGAACTGTCCCTCCAGTCCTCTTGGGAAAAAATTAAAAACCAATTATGATTTTGTTTAAGTGGTAAGGATTGACGTATATACAACCAGCACAGAAGATGCAACCAGGTGCCTCCCCTTAGTTGTTATGAGAAACCCCTTTTCCTTTGGCAGCAAAGGAGTTCTCTCTGAGATTTCTCCAAGTCTCTGTCTATCCTGCAGCATTTTATTTCATCATTTTCTATCTGTCCTGGTTTGGTAAATACTTTTACCCCAGTACCTCCCCTTGGTCAACACGCCATTATTCCTGACAAAACACAAATACACAACCTACCACTGAGCTATACCTCCAGACCCTCCTAGGAACTTTGGGACAATATCTTACCAGGTTGCCTACAGTATTCTCAGACTCTTGACTTAAGTAGTCCTGCAGAAACACCCTGAGTACTTGAGTCTGCAGATGTATCCAGCATGCCCAGCTTTGGGGATATTGGATACTTAAAGGAAAACCATTGCCTCTGAAGAGTAAAGACTGGGCATTTTGCCAACTTTTTAATATGAAAACTCAAATCTGTGTAAAAATGTTCACAAGTAGGAAAATAAATGCTCATCTAGATTCACTAGTGATGTGCTCTGTGTACATAGAGATATACACATATGTGCATTCTATTTTTGTACATGTCTATCAACTTTTCTTTTAGCTGAGCCATTTAAAAGTTGGCCACAGACATCATTTACACTTTACTTCAGCATGTGTCCCCTAAGAACAGGAACACTATACAAACTCATGATTATCACAATTCTACAATACTGTTAGCTTATATATCCAGGTCCTAATTTCTCCAACATCAATTATGGCTTTTACAGTGGCTTCTTTTTTAAAAAAAATCATTTTATTTATTTTATTTTATGTGTATTGAGGGTGTCAGATTCTCTGGAACTGGAATTACAGTTGTGAGTTACCATGAAGGTGCTAGGAATTAAACTCTGATCTTCTGGAAGAGCAGCCAGTGCTCTTAACTACTGAGCCATCTCTCCATCCTCCAGCTTCTCTTTTTAATTTATTATTTTAAGTACATTGATATTTTGTCTGTATGAGATTGTCAGATCTTAGAGTTACAGACAGTTGTGAGCTGCCTTGTGGGTGCTGGGAATTGAACCCCCATCCTCTGGAAGAGCAGCCAGTGCTCTTACCCACTGAACCATCTCTCCAGACTCTCCCCTCAGTTTTTTGAAACAAGTTTTCTTTGTATGCCCCGGGCTGTACTTGATATGTAGACCAGGCTGCCCTTGAACTCACAGAGATCCACCTTCCTCTGCCTGCTGAGTGCATGGACCTAAAGGTATGCATCACCATGTCCAGCAAATTTTATCTTTTAATATTGATATTTGAAGAGTCCAGGCTAGTTGTATAGCAACATGTAATATTTGAATGTCTGATTATTTCTTTTCTTCATATTTAGGTTCATATGAAAACTTTTATGGGTGTTTTTTTTCTTTTGGTTTTTTGAGACAGGGTTTCTCTGTGTAGCTTTGGAGCTTGTCCTGGAACTAGCTCTGTAGACCAGGCTGACCTTGAACTCACAGAGATCTGCCTGCCTCTGCCTCCTGAGTGCTGGGATCAAAAGCATGTGCCACCACTGCCTTTCAAGGGTGCTTTTTTATTGCAATGTCTCCACCCATTCTCTGTAGTTTTTGTTGTTGTTTGTTTGCTTGCTTTTGTTTTTATTTTTTGAGACAAGGTCTTGCTATGTAATTCAGGTTGGACTTGAACTCCCTGTATGGTCCAGGCTGGCAATGAACTCATGGCACTCCTGCCTCTTCACAGGCATGCCTCACCACATCCAGCTCTCAGCGCAGGTAAGAGAAAGCCTCAGGACTTCTTAACTTGGAGAGCTAAATTCTTCTTGGTACCAGCTCCCCAAGAGTGGGAAATGTTTGCTGGAAGGATGGTGGGAGCCACAAGATAAACCATATCCTCAGTCTTGACAGAGTTCACTCACAGGGGCAGCTGCTGGCCTCTGGGCTTCCTTCTGAACAACCAGGGCAGAGGTGAACATTTCTCCAGGAGTTTAGGTGCTCAGTGGCCAGTCAGTTCTGAGATGGGTCACCTGAGGCCACTCTCTGCTGATGCATCTGCAAGGGAAACAAGAGGCCTGGGGAAGGTGGCCATGCTAGTGCTGTCCTGCTGGAATAGCCAAGGGGACACGTGTGCATGACAGAGGGAACCAGAACAGCACTGAAAACAGAAAAACTTTAAATGAGAGTAAAACAGAAAAAAACAGACTGAAGGAGGTAGATAGGAGACAGACACACAGGAAAGAAGGGAGAGGAAAGCAGGAGCAGAGACACAGAGCAGGTCCACAGAAAACAAGAGCAGCACCGAAGTTGTGGGTTGGGTTTTTCTTACTTTTTTTTTTTTGGAGACAGGGTCTCACTGTGTAGCCCCTGGAACTCACTATATAGACCAGGTTGGCTTAGAACTCACAGAGATCCACCTGCTTCTGCCTCCCAAGCACTGGGACAAAAGGCATGCACTGGCTACCACACCAGGCTATAACAGCTGTGTTTATGCTGGTGAGTCTAGCAAGACACAAGGGCTTCCCCCAGGGGCTATTGGGGTCACCTATTTAGTCTGTATTTTTCCAAACACAGAACTTTTCCTTTATGTCCCAGAAGCTCTCAGCCCTGGGCCAGATGTTTCTTCCTTACTCAGCACATCTCTGCTTTTCATAGTTGTCAACAGATGAGAACAGTCTCCTTGTGACACATGTGGGGTGAAGAGGAGGAACAGGGGAGGGAGACAGACAAAAGAGAGGGTTAAGGAAATGGAGAACACTAAAAATAGCCTCCCCTCTGGGTGGGGAAGAATCCAGAATCCTAGGAGGTTCCTGGCAGGGTGACCTCTGTTAACGATACCAGGCCAGCATTTTCTTATGAGAAAAAGGACAAGGGCATGCGGAGAGTCTGAACAGCTGGGCAGAGGCCATCTCCACAGTTCTGCTAGGGCCAGACTCCTGAAGCTCATGAGGACAGCTGCATAGAGGAACTTGGTTCAGAGGGGACTTTTTGGCAATAATGTGCAGTGTGTGTGCTTTTCCCTGGCAGGAAGTTAAGGGTAACACAAAACGCTGAGTCAAGCCCTTCCGGGACCACAGTGAAAGAGCCCTTTTCTGCCCTCACCCAAAAGAATCCCCAAGCCCGCCCCCTCCTGCGCTTTCTCACTGAGGAGGTAGAGGGGTGACAAGGGACTGGACAGGACATCCCGCAGACTCTCCAGCCATTCTCGCTGCTCCTTCTCACTAGGGCAGGTGAAGACGAATTTCCGCTCTGGAGTGATGACAGTGAGTCCAGCCTTCCAGCGATTCCCTCGGACGCCCTTGGGCAGGTCTTCACATACTTCATATCCCTGCTCATTGCTTCCCAATAAAACCTGGCCCTGCTCAAAAGCATCCTGAAAATGGAAGGCGTGTATGTGGTCATCAAAGGCTGGTCTGGAACAGAGGAGCCCTTGCAGCCCCACCATTCCCAAGGTCAGGCTTACTAAAGAGATGTTTATATTATTGCTAGATTCAACTTCGAATTTGAAACATTAAAACCTAAAGTATGCCCAGTGTTGGTGGCTCACACCTTTAGTTCCAGCACGCAGGAGGAAGAGGCAGGCAGATCTCTGTGAGTTCAAGGCCAGCCTGGTCTACAGAGCTAGTTCCAGGACAGGCTCTAAAGCAATACAGAGAAACCTGTCTCGAAAAACCAAACCAAACAAACAAAAACCCTAAAGTATATGGCACACTAATCTGCTGAAGACAATAGCATACAGAGAATATGCCAGCACTGGGAACTCAAAGGCTGGGTTTTTGTTTGTTTGTTTTATTTTGGGGTTTTTTGTTCGCATGTTTTAGGCACTGAGGATTGAGCATAGAGTCTGAAACATACTAGGCAAGCCCTCTACTGTTGAGCCTAGCCCCACCCCCTCTTTAATTTTGAGACAAGATCTCACTAAATCACACAGGTTGGCCTTGAATTTCTTCTGAAGCCCAGGGAGTCTGAATTTGCAATCCCCAGTCTCAACTTCCCCAGTAGCTGGGATTATAGGCTGGTGCCCCCAGGCCCAGCTCAAGCGGTTCACATGTTAACAACTTGTATACTTATCATGGCCTCTTTTGAGCAAGGCATTCATGCTAAGCCAATATTTTTGTAAGAAGGGAAATGCAGCATAGAGAGCTAAGTGCATACCCAGCCCAGGGCATGGCTCTGCAATGGCAGGGCTGAGACTTGAGCCCATTGTCCAGCCAAACTGGTTCCTGAACTCCACAGCCCTAACCACTCCACTCCAGACCTCCAGGTTACAAGGGAGTAGTTGGTTTCACCTTACTTTAACCACGGTTGTCAGCTCTGGGGATCCTGAATGGAGCTGAGTGATAAGCAGGGGCACAGTGGAGAAGCAAGGCTACAGAATTTCCTGTCACTGGTTTCCCAGTCCTGGGATTCTAAGATGGCTGAGAACATGCTAAGGAAGGGTCAGGAATGGCTCTTACCAGGGTGTTCTTGTAATACAGCAGCCTTCGCTCCAGGGCATCCAGGGCAAACCATCTTTTCTTGAAGGGTTCTTTTTGCTGCAAAAGGAGGAACCTCTTACCAGACATGGCAAAGCCAGGCACTGAGGTCACAGCCAGCTCAGAGAAGAGGTCATCACACTGGTTTTCCAGCCTGGCTTCTGCAATCAGACACCAGAGCTTCTCCCTGGGCCTAGCTCCTGGGAATGCATGCTTTCCCCGCATGATGGGCAGGGCTGGGACTGGAGTCCAGCCAAACTGGTTCTAGGGGTCACAGGTCTGAACACCTATGCAGACTCTAGGTTGTTTGTTTATTTGTTTGTTTGGAGACAGGGTCTCTCTGTATAGTCCTGGCTGTTCTGGGATCTCCCAGCTTCTACCCCGGGAATTCTGGAATTAAAGGAGTACACCACAGAGAGCCAGACTCTGAAGGCTGAGCTCAGTCTCCCCCCCCCCCCACCCCCTTTGCTTTGCTTTGCACTCCCAGGTACCTCTTGGGAGTGAAAGAGGCTGCTGACAAAGAAGGCTCAGAAAAAGGAAGCCAGGGAAGTCAGAAGTGGCTCCTGTTCACAAAGTTGAAAGTGCTGGCCTTTGGTTCAACTGCAACTTAGGTCAGGGGAGAGAAAGGCTTGAGGCAAAAGCCAGGGACTGTGCCTGGCTTCTGCAGGAAGGAGGCTGTACACCACCATTTGACTAAGTTTCCAACTCCTGAGGCTTCCCTTCTTTCCTTCCTTCCTTCCTTCCTTCCTCCCTTCCTTTTCCTTTCTTTCTTACTTTTTTTTTTTAAGACATAGTTTCTCTGTATTGTCTTGGCTATCTTGGGCCTCATTTTGTAGACCAGGTTGGCCTCCAACTCAGAGATCCACCTGCCTCCCGAGGGCTGGGATTAAAGGTGGCTCCTAAGGTTTTCTTTCACTGACCTCCAGCACCTTTCAGGGTCCTTGTAACAACCATCCTGTAACACATAATAATTGTCTTTTGCACTGAATCCCTGACCTTATGCATGCTAGGCAAAGCCATTTACCTTGAACTACACACCGCATCCTACCCACCTCATTAATTAATTTGTTTATTTATTTATTTTGAAATGAAACAGGCTGCAGACTGGCTTTGAATTTGTAATGCAGGCCAGGTTAGCTTGCATTCCTCTGCCTCTGCCTCCTAAGAATCTAGGTTTGTGCAATCCTTGTCTGGTTCACAGGAAACCTCCCCTCAGGGGCAGCTCCTCTTCCTCCTTAGATAAGTGTGAAGGCACAGGCCCTGGTGACTGGGACAAGCTTAGTCACTGAGGAGCCACGCTGGGAGGAGAACAGACTTCACCATGCTTTTTCAGACTAGCCCTGTCTCCTGGATTCAGAAACATCTGCTCAAAGTCATCTCTCTAGGAAATTTCTTCTCAGCATTGCTTTCCCAGGGTTAGCTAAAGTCTATAGTGACGGATACGATGAACATGACAGGGTGGCACGAAACTGTTCTGGTAGAAGTTTCACTCCAAGTCCTTCGCTCTGTCCAAACCCTGCTGCATCTCAGAAAGCCCTCCAAATGATGACCCCTCCCCCCAGAGATGCTCAAGACTACTCCCACAGGGCATTTAAACTGCCCCCCCCAGAAAACAGACTCCCTTTTCCATCTCCTTTCTGGGGGGGGGCAGCTGGAAAATCATCCAGGAGCATTTTATCCATTAAAAGAGGGCTTTCTTCTAATTCGGCTTGATTTGGTTTGATTTGAATTGCTGCTTCGGTAAAGAGGCCTATTGGGGTGCAGAAACTTTTCTACAGATGCTAGAGCAATGCGGGGCCACATGGCTCTGCTCAGTCCTTCAACACAGAAACTCACAAATATTGGTATTCTTCCTTCCCCTGTCTCTTTAGTCCTCCCTCCCACGTCCACACACACCTTTCTGCTTTATTGGTGGTTGGGACAGGACCATGTTAAATAGCTCAGAAAACATACCTTCGGACCAGTCTTCTCCATGAAGCCTTGTTTGAGGTAGTTCCTGGTGATGAGAGGCACGAGCTGCGGGGAGAGACAAGGCTGACTCCCTATTCACACCCAGAGCTTTCAGGTTCCAGACTGAACTCTGGCCTAGGACATAAGTCTAGGGTGGAGAAGGGAGTGTGCCCATGGGTGATGAGTTATATTTGGAGTGTGTGCTGGACATAATACAAATAGTTCAACAAAGATGGTCAAAGGGCCCCTGATATGTTTGTAGAGTTTTCCAGCATGGCCAGTCCTGATTTAAGTCATTCATTCATTCACTCATTCATTCATTCATGCAAGGATGTCAAGAGACCCCTTTGTCAACAGGCATTGTGGAGCTTGCCTGTAATCTCAGTCCCTGGGGGAAGCAGAGAGGCAGGCAGATCTCAGTTTGAGGCCAGCCTGGTCTACAGAGTGAATTCCAAGATCGCTAGGGCTACATGGAGAAAGAAACCTTATCTCAAAAGATCATAAAGAAGAACGAGGTGGGGGATAAACCCACTTGTTTGCTGTGGTAGGCTCTGGGTACAATTCCCTACCACCCTGGATAGTAGATTTCATCAGCCTCACCTTACTCACTAAGAAACCAGGCCACAGAGATGTGAGCAGACCCTTTGCTGGTCTCGTGGCTGATAGCATGAAGAGGTGGGACTCACACTCAGGCTGACAGGCAGCAGGCCTGTGTACCATCACACTTTGTAAAGGTGGCAGAGCCCTTTGACCAGACTCCCCGCCATGCCATGCCAGCTGAGACCTGCTCACAGATGCTGACATAGGCCCTGAAGAGTCGACTGCAGGGTGGACAAATAGAGAAAGCACTGGATTGGGCATTAGGCAATCAGAATCTTAGCACTTCTGGCCTCAATCATCCTGGTAAGACTTCTGTCTCTGGGGGTCTGTTTACTACTGTGACCTCCAACAGCCCTCACAGCCTGCTTTCCTATACTTAGAGGAAGAAGCTCCCAGAGATTGACCATGACTTCCTGTGCTTCCCAGAAGTGGGGAGAGGGGAACTGGACAATCTAGGGCTTCAAATGGCAGAACAACAGCAGGGTCCCTGAAGTCATAGGGGCAAAGGTGAGGTGGGACATGGGTAAGCAAGAGAAAGAAGCTGAGGCCCAAAATTAAAATCTACACTAGACTACTCCAATACATTCTACAGCATTTACTCTGCTTGGAGAAAATAGGGCCCCCACTGTTCTGAACTCCCAATTTGAGCCAGCACAGGCCTAAGGGGACAAGAGAAACAAGGAGAGCCAGCTGGCTGGACTACTCTTCTCTATACTTCAGACACTGGCTCACTATTCTCATGACAATCTGACAGGTGGCACCAGGTCACACTTACATGACAACTGAGCACCCTGAAGCTCAGAAGTGAAGTTATTTACTGGGCAGCACATTAGGCTCTCTGACTCCAGGGTCTGCGTGCACTTCTCTTTTCTGCTTTGTTTTCTTTTTGTTTTGTTTTCTGAGACAGAGTTTCTCTGTATAACAGTCCTAGCTGTCCTGGAACTAGCTCTGTAGACCAGGCTGGCCTCGAACCCCCAGAGATCAGCCTGCCTTTGCCTCCTGAGTGCTGGGATCCAAAGCATGTACCACCACTGCCCAGCTCACTTCCCTCCCTCCATCCTCCTTTCTTTCCTCCTTCCACACTTGACATGTTTTCTGTAACCCAAGTTGGCCTGAATTTGAGCTCACTGTGTAGTCCAGGCTGGCCTCAGACTTTCAGCAACCCTCCCACCTCAGCCTCCAAAGTGATGGGATTATAGACCACTAAGCCCAGCTTCTTTATCCCCAGTGCTGAGAATGGGACTCAAGGTTTAACACAAACTAGGCAAGCGCTCCGCTGTTGAGCCACAGTGCATTTCAGATGACAGGGTTACATCTCCACAAAGACTTCCTGGGTTTCCAGCACCAATTTCTTAAACCCAGGAACCACACCTAAACATAGGGAAGACAAGCAAGGGTAACAGGCAGGACAGGTATGGTAGCGGTAATGAAGGAGACAAGGGAGCATGGAGGGAACTGGTCAAAGACTAACTTCCTCCACAAAGGTTAGCAAACACAGGAAGCCAGGCCAGAATAAATAAGGCTGAGCACCTGCTCTGTACCCTCCCCTCTCCTGGATCAGCAGTCAGTACTCTGCACTTTTCTCTGAGCCAGCAGCAACCAGCTCTGGGTGCTGACTAAGCACAGCAACTTCAGTTTTGAGGCCTGACTCCTAGCCTTGCTGGAACCATGCCTAGGGAACTTCTAAATGGGTATATCGCTGGGCCTGAAGTCAACCCTCTCCCAGACACTCAGCTCCCCTGCAAGTGCTGGGAATTGAGGAACATTTAGACTTTCAATGATGGTCTAACAGATGAGACTCAGAAACTCCAGGATCAGGCAGAGGAGATGGTCCTGTGGGTAAAACGCTTGCCATGCCAGCATGAGCAATAGTAAAAAACCAAGCATGGTCATGAGTGGTGACCTCAGCACTGGACAGGAGGATCCTTGGGGCTCTCTGGCCAGTCAGCCTAGCCTAATGGGAGAGCCCAAGCCAATGAAGAGGGACTGTCTTGAGAAAATAAAGGTGGGTGGCAACTAAGGAATGACACATGAGGCTGAATGGTTGACTTCTGGCCTCCACATGCATATGTATACACACACACACACACACACACCCAGGATTAAGGCTGGTAAGATGGCTTAGTGCACACAAAGAATATATGTCAAAAACTTAAAAAAAAGAAAAGAAAAGAAAGAAAGAGAGAGAGAAGGAAAGAAAGAAAAAAGCCTCAAGAAAAAAAAAGTTCAGGATTTCAGAGTGTGGTGACTGGGCCTGTAATATCAGTATTTGGGAGGTAGAGGGAAGAGGATGAGGAGTTCAAGATTATCTTCAGTTACATAGTGAGTTCTAGGCCAGCCTCAGTTACAAAAGATCCTGTCAAAAAGATAGACAGACCCAAGGATTAGCATGGTCCCTTTTTCCCTATCACTTAAAGAAAAAAGTTCTTTTAACAGGAAACTTAATTGTCCCCAAGGCTGGCTCGGTGTTGAACCCCTTAATCCCAGCACTCAGGAGGCAGAGGATGGTGGATCTCTGTGAGTTCCAGGCCAGCCTGGTCTACAGAGTGAGTTCTAAGCCAGCCTGAGCTATATACTGAGACTGTGTCTCAAACATATACCACTACCAAAAAATAAAAAGCAAACTCCACACCCTCAATTACAGAACCTCCCTGATGGAGACCTGGGCCAGCCTCCATCTTCCTAACATGGAAACATGCTCAGAAAGGCACCATGTCCTGTAAGGGTCACATAGCATGTCAGTGACTGGGCATCTATGGGGCCTAGGCCTCCTAACTTAAAACATCATCCTCTGCCACATGTCATTCCAGTGTTCCCCAACAAGACTCCCAGATGTCTGGGACAACCAAAACGAAGTTCTCAGTTTACTGTTACCTTTACCACTACAGCCAGATGCACCGCTGTAATGAGGGGGACCCAACACCTTCCCAAGGGCAGGGCACTACAGCACACAGCAGGGATAGCCAGGGAAGGGCACATTCCATTACTCACTTAACAGGAATAATCACCCTGCCCAATTACCTGCTCTAAGTAATTACTGTATAGAAAGGGGTATGAGATAAAATGGGTCAGAAGCACTGTGCATACAGTATGTGGGGCCCATTTGTATATGGTCAGCAAGATGTGTGAAGGCTGAGACCTTTGGTCCTACAGAGACTTGTTATCCTCCAGTCTCCCTGGGCTTTATCTGCAATAGACCTAGTCTAGCCCCTGAGTATTTTAGGGGTCAGGAGACAGGAAGAGGAAAAGGGAGGGGATGGGAGACTCAGAAGCCATGCCCACATTTAGCTCACCTCAGACTCTGGGAGATCAGGGAAGGCCAGTTTTAGGTATTGTAGGCGGGCTGCCCGGAGAGCATTGAACCAATCCACTATCTCCTGCCAGGGAAAATTCAAAGTACACACAGTGATGAGATGGGTGGATGTGTGAGGACCCTGGTGGCAGGGCTAGAGTTATCAGAGTTACAAACACACACATACATTCAGCAAATAGACACACCACACAGGGACATCTGGAAAGGGTGATGTTAGAGCCCAGGGGACTGCCCTGAGCTAGTTGGAAGTCAAAGACAGGAAGAGCTCCCAGTCACAGAAAAAGGCCAGCGTGAGCTGCACAAAATGGCTTAGTACACTTCCTAAAGTTTGTGAGAATCCCCTGGCTTCCTGTTAGGAGACTCATTGGTGTGGACTGGTCCTGAGACTACATCCCTTCACCCTAAGACTCTGAGAGGCTATGATGCTGTGGGCTGCTGGACACACACTTCTTTGGGTGGGGGTTGCACATGGAGACACTCATGCATCAGAGACGCTCAGGACCTGGAATGCACACGGGCCACAATTGGATGAACTTTCATGTTGCCACAACGAGAGAATACATCCTTCATAATCATGGGGCACCATCATCTCGCCTGGAGATATTCCAAGGCTTTCTCAGCTGCTCTCTGAACAGACATCCTTTCTCTTTTCTTCACTCTAACCCCTTGCTTTCATTTTATGTGCATGTGTGAGTACCTATTCGTGTGTGTTGCCTGTGGAGGACAGAAGAGAGCCTTGGATCCCTGTAAAAGGAGTTATAAGCAGCTGTAAGCTACCATGTGAGTACTGGAAACTGAACTCAGGTCCTCTGTAAGAACAGCAAGTACTCTTGACTGCTGAGACACCTCTCCAGCCTCTGCACTCCACCCCTTTTTACAGTGTCTAGAGAAGCCCTCTGCAATGGATCTGGATCTCCAGAGGCTTTTTCACTTTTTTGTTTGTTTGCTTTTTGTTTTTTGAGGTACAGTCTCATTTAGTCCAGGCTGGCCTTGTAGCTAAATAGCAGAGGCTAGCCTTGCTTCTTCTTCCCAATACTGGGATTGCAGGTGTACATTACCACACCTTTTTATTTTATTGTGATTTTTGATACAGGGTCTTGCCATGTAGCCCATATTTGAACCTTGTTGTGAGCCTCCTACCCCTACCTCCCAAGTGCTAGAATTATGTGTGTATCACATCACAACATTAATCCTTTCCTTCCTCTCTCTCTCTCTCTCTCTCTCTCTCTCTCTCTCTCTCTCTCTCTCTCTCTCTCTCTCTCCCCTAAACAAATTTTTCATTGAAAACTTATACTGAGGCTGGGCATGGTGGCATACACCTTTAATCTCAGCACTCAGCAGGCACAGGTAGGTAAATCTATATTCATCTGAAGTTAGCCTGGTCTACATAGTGAGTTCCAAGATAGCCAGAACTACATAGTGAGACCTTGTCTCAAACAAACAAGCAAACAAGAAGAAAACTTGTACTAAGACAACTGGTAACATCAATACAGAGCAAGGGGTTGGAGAGATGGCTCAGTGGTTGAGAGCACTGTCTGTTCTTGCAAAGGACCTGGGATTGATTCCCAGCACTCACATGGCAGCTCACAACCACCTGTAATTCCAGTTCTAGGGGATGTCTCTTCTGACATCCACAGTCAGTGCATGCATATAGTTTAGAGATAATACACACAGGCAAACTACCTATATACATAAAATAACAAAATGAAACACAGAGTAAGATGGCGCTCACTTCCTATTCACAAACTACACTCACACCACCTCATGCTCCTCTTCCCTCCTATCCTCCCCTTCTTTAACCCATTCCTTACATAGGATAGTTTAGATGTTGGGATAGATCCTCAGGCTTTTGGCTCCTGCCCCAGCCTTTCTTCTCTGAGAATTGCTGGCCCGATTCTCAACCCCACACCCTATAATCCCCACCCTGCATTGGCTACAGCAGCTGGACCAATACACAGGCGGGACTGGATTTATCAGCAAGGCTCTCTCCCAGGAATTTGGGATGAGGAGGTTGAAAGACTTGCTTGGATAGCTGTGGTGCAGGGCTGTGAGGCACTGCGGTGACTGAGAAAGTCAGCTGAACAGTTCCAACAGGATGCAACAAGTTCCTTTCTACCCTCAGGACAGACACAGAGGCCTAGTCCCCGGGAGCTTTCCTGTCCTGGTGTTTGTTAAGGGATTTCTTGGCAGGGTATGTTGGCCTATGTCTATAATCTCAGTGGGAGGAAGGCCAAGGCAGGAGGATTGCTCCAAGTTCAAAACCAGCTGGGCTACATAGCAAAACATGAGCTCTCCTGAAAAAAAAGAAAGGAAAGTAAAAAATAAAACATAAAAGGTCTTGGGTCTTAGGTATTACATAAATGGGGCCACCCAGAAAAAAAAATGTACCCAGTATGTACATGGTCAAGTTCCCAGCATAGAAAAAAGAAAACAAGCCTTAAATCCCAGCACTTGGGAAGCAGAGGCAGGCAGATCTCTGCAAGTTCGAGGCCAGCCACGTCTAGATCGAGTTTCAGGACAGCCAGGGCTACACAAAGAAATTCTGTCTCCAAAGAATTGAAAGTTAACAGTCACCAAGAGCATGTCTAGCAAAGTTAAATGACCCAAAAATGTCAGCCAGTGCTTCCCCCACACCCACTTAGCATCTCCTTCCTGTCCTATTACTGACTATGCTGTGAATCTGATCCAATTCACTCTCCAATCTACCCTCTTGCCTGACTGCCCTGCTCTGCGTGGGCTGATGTTCCTGTCTTGACAAATAGTCTAATTTGGCCTCAAACCCATGATCTTCCTGCCTCAGCCTGCCAACCCCTGGGATTTTAGGAGCTAATGGTTCTCAAGCATTATTGTATGTTCTAATCACCCAAGACTCTGTCAAAGTTTCTAATTGTGTGGGTCTGGGTGCCCTAAGACTAGTTCTTTTATTTATCTTTTTGGGGGCTGGACAGATGGTTCAACAGTTAAGCACACTGGCTGTTCTTCCAGAGGACCCAGGTTTGACTCCCAGCACCCACATGGTACCTCACAACTATTTGTAACTCCTGTTCCAGGGGAATCTAATACCTTATCCTGGCCTCAATGAGCACAAGGCACATACAGACTACACAGACATACATGCAGGCAAACACCTTATACATAAAATAATTTCCTTAAAATATTTATTTGCTTTTACTTAATGTGTGTAAGTGTTTTGTCTGCATGTATGTCTATGCACCACATAAGTGCCTTGTGCCCACAGAGGCCAGAGGAGGGCATTGGCTGCCCTGAAACTGAGTTATAGACTGTTGTGAACCACCATGTGGGTGTTAGGAACTGAACCTAGGTCCTCTCCAAAAGCAACAAATGCTGCACTGAGCCATTCTTCCAGCCCCAAGACTCACAAGGTCTTAGGTAACATTGGTTCAGTGGGAAAAAAGGCCCTGGCCCAATCTATCCACCCTTCCTCCCAAATCACAATCTCAGGCCCTATCTCGATTTACCATTTCTTCATTGTGTGTGTTTGTGTGTGTGTGTGTGTGTGTGTGTGTGTGTGTGTGTGTGTATGTGTTGTTGTTGTTGTTGTTGTCGGCTCACTATGTAGTACTGGCTTCCCTAGAATTCACTATGTAGAGTAGGCTGGACTCAAACTCACAGAGATCCATCAGAATTTGCCTCTGAGTGCTGGGGCCTGGTGTGTGCTGCCACCACCATTGCATTTGCCATTTCTGGCTATGGTCCCCTCTGCTACCTTTTCCTGTCATCGATGACTGTGCACTGTCTGGATGTGTTCTCAGTACTTGAGAGGTTCATCTCCTACATCTATCTATCTCATTATGCCTTCCTCATTATAAAGTGGAAACAGACTAAGGCAAGCAGCAACAGCAGCAGCAGCAGCGGCAGGTGTCGGGCAGTGGGGTAGAAGGTGGTAAGCAGAGCCCAAAGGGCTGGGTGCCATGCTGGAGACTGCAGAAGCTACTTGAGTCGTCTCACCTTCCCACTGTCATGGTACACAAAGAGATTCCTGGTGCGGCCATCTTTCCTGTAGGTGATCTGCAGCCCATGGGGATGCCCTATCTTCTCTGTCTGGAAGGTGGCATTCAAGTCCTTGATGTTGATGACAGCCTTTGGGGTTTTACCCTAGAAGAGAGAAAGACAACTCTCAAGATACTGATGACAATAGGGGCCTTATTATCACCTTTGCCAAGGCCTTTAATACAAACAATCCCCCAATATATAGTGCTGGGTCGTTCTACTAGCCAAAGGCACAGCTGTCCTACTGATTGCCTGTGCTCATCCTCCTCCTGCTGCCTAGCCACACTGGCCCCTCTGAGCTGGCAGTAGGTCTAGAAACCATTCACTTGGGACTTCTCGCATGTTTTAGCCACAGAAACTTGCCTGGAGTAAATCAACCACTGTTGTGAAATAAAAAGCCAGATAGAAGCAGTTGTGGGGACTCAGAGCACCCCTGACGCACACGTTCTCTGTGCCTTATCCTTGGACTCTGACACATGGTGGAGCACTGAATGTAACGAAGAAGGGATCCTGACCAGAAACATGGTGATTCCAAGCACCCACACCTGCAGGAGCCACACTGAACCCACACTTTTTTAAACACAATTTAAAATTCCATTCTTAGTCACACTTGGCCTCATGTCAAGTGCTCACTCGCTAGCTAACTCTAAGGGCTATGAGACTCAGACAGGGCATACAGAGAATACTTCATCAACAAGGAAAGTTCTACGGAACATCTCTAGAGGGAAAGTTGGTCAAGTCCATTAAGATGTTGATGTGACTGCTATTGTTGTTATGTGTGACTGTGGGTACATGTGTGTCACAGTACACATGTGAAAGTCAGAGGACAACTTTCAGGAGTCAGTTCTCACCTCCCATCACCCACTCCAGGGTTTGTGTTGTCTGACTGACCTACAGTTTGTCTAAGAATATACTACAAGTAAATAACTGCATGACTGTGCAGACATGTGTCAACCATGCTTGCTATAGTATTGCATAGGTAGCAAGAAGTCTGGGGAATGGAGCATAGTGACAGATTACTTGCCTTGCAGGACCAGGGTCATAAATTCAATCCCAGCACCACAAGCATGCACACACACACACACACACACACACACACACACACCACACCACACCACACAAACACATACCACAAACAAGGGAAACAAATTAAATGTTATCAATTATGATGGGTTAAATAAACCATAGTATACACACAATGGAATACTACATAATTAGAAAATTGGTATTGGTGGCCTTTAATCCCAGCACTTGGGAGGCAGAGGCAAGCAGGAACTCTGTGAGTTTAAGGTCAGCTGATCTATAGAGCTAGTTCTAGGACAGCCAGAACTGTTACACAGAGAAACCTTGTGTGAACAAAACAAAAACAAAAACAAAACACAGAGAGTCTGGATCCTGTATGTCATTTTGTTGTCTTTAAATTTTTTGATCACTAATAAATGAGCAATAGCTGCTAAAAGACATTTAATTATGGAAACTGCAAGATTAAATCAAAATACATAGTTTAAACTATCTTGACTTCAAAATGGAAGTTAAAAGTCATATTGCTTTGGGGGACAGGTTATGTTTTTATTTCCACAGAAAATGAGAGTGGATTCATTCCAGGTTGATATGGTCAGGTTTGATTATGGAAGACCCCCTGAAAACCCTGGATAACACATAAAGAAATAAACTTAAAAAAGCTACAAAACACATAAAGGATATTTTACCTGCTCAAACATAAAACAAAAAATCATCTTTGAGCCAGTATTTGAGGTGCATGCCTTTAATCCCAGCACTCGGAAGGCGGAGGCAGAGACTAGCCTGGTCTACAAGAGCTAGTTCCAGGGCAACCTCCAAAGCCACAGAGAAACCCTGTCTCACCTCCCACCCCCACCCAAAGAAAATCATCTTTGGCTAACTTATGTACAATACACACTCTATACTTCTATTAGTACAGAAATGTACGTTACCTTTAAAAGTTTTTGTATTTTCGGAACAAGGGGACCAGACACCACAGAAAATTGATGGCACAAATGATCCAGCATTTCAAAATGCCTCTGTTACAGTCTTCCCACAATTCTGCACCCAGAACAGCTTCAAGGCTGCTGGCTGAAATGGTCCAGCCTCACAAACTACGAGAACTCATACCTAACAATTATTCTGATATTCTCAAGGTTTCCCCACAGACAACAGGAAATAGTCTGGAGAATGATTCCCCACATTTCCAAGAGATGGGGTATAGGTGGGTTTTGGATATTCAACGAATTATGGATGTTGGTCATTGTTGGGGATTACAATTTGTTATTGGTTATAGTCTGAAGAAAAAAAAAAGCCCTAAACAAAGAAGTTAAATTCAAAGATCTCTTTCTAAAGGAAAGAAGGGGATATCATATAGAAATAATGAGATAAAAGGATAGATTGTTGAATTTACTTTAATCCAAAGAGCAACTATTAATCTCAAAATAGTTTAAATTGATATGGATTTTGGTTTATTGATTCAAATTTAAAGTTAATTTTATTATACTGCATGTATGCTTCTACTCTTGTTTGGGGTATTGTGCCTATACAGCTCATTTTTAAAATGTAATGTATATACAGACTATAATAATGTATATACAGACTTATAGTGAATCATCTATAATAATCAAACTTGTAGTCATATTAGGTATGTTTTCAAAGTTTAGATAGACAGATGGGTTCTAAACACTTCAAAGACCTACAGAATATGGCATTAAAAAAAGAATATGGCATTTAATGTTTAATAACCTGAGGCTTTTCATGACAGTGAGACACATTTGTTCCTGACAGCACCAATTTACTTCAGAGAAGATGATGGGCACTGAAGAACCACTGTATGGAGGTTTGCTTTCTTTATGGCAAAAGCTAGGCATTTGGGTAAAAAACTGCCCTTGCCTCAATTGCTGACAGTATACTGTGCAAACTGGACCAGCAGGACACAAAAGAAAGCAACTGCCAAACTTTGCCATGACAAGATAGGACAGTCTTTCAAAGTTCTGTGCTTTTCTGAAATGTCTGTCAGATATACTAGGCCTGAAGGACAAAATTGGTTGTCTCAATGTTACAGAAAAACTTTGGGTGACTGTCCAAGCAGCCAGATGTCCCTATTGTTAGGTAATATTACACCCTTCTGGGGTCTTAGATGGAGTTAAAGACTAAATAATTAGCCAGGCAGTGGTGGCACATGCATTTAATCCCAGCACTTGGAGGCAGAGGCAGTCAGATATCTGTGAGTTTGAGACCAGCCTGGTCTGCAGAGCTAGTTCTAGAACAGCTAGGATTATTACACAGAGAAACCCTGTTTCAAAACAAACAAAAAAGAATAAATAATTAGACTTAAAGTGTTCCTTAGTTATAATAAAAATTAAATTAGTTATAAAACTTTAGACTTACAAAGATAAGATAAACAATAGAGTATTTTCCCTAATTTTGCCAAAAATAAGTGGACTGGGTATTGTAACTGTAATTCTTACTTGATAACTGTTTTTGCTGTATATAATTTTACTATGTTAGAGTCAAAACCTTCCTTTTTAACTAGACAAAAAGGATGAAATGCTGTGGAACAATCTTTGTACACTGTAAATATACACTACTCTCATTGGTTAATAAAAGAGCTGACTGGTTTATAGCTGGGCAGGATGAGATGGGTGGGTGAGTCAGACTAGAATGCTGGGAAGAAGGGCAGAGTCTGAGGAATTGTGAGGAGACAGAGCAAGAAGGATGGGAAGTACATATATGAGATAAACAAGCCTTGGGGCAGCACATAGATTAATAAGAAATGGGTTGATTTATTTTTATAAGAACTAGTTAAAAACAAGTCTAAGCTATTGGCTGAGAATTTATAATTACTAATAAGTATCTCTGTGGTTATTTGGGGAGCAGCTGATGGAACAGAAAAGTTCACCCACAGTGTATGCATAAGGCTCTGGGTCTGATCCCTAGCAACACACACACACACACACACACACACACACACACACTATTACTAATAAAGAGTATCTCTTTAACTGAAAGTTTACTCTGTCATTTCTCCTTCTACATTTCCCACAGACGGGAAGTCATGAGTTTAATGTCTATTCTTTTACTTCCTTTCTCATACTTGTACAAACAAATACATTCATAGGCATGTATCTACAAACAACTTATAGTATTGTCTTATGTATGTATGGTGCTGGGGACCAAGCCCTGGACTTTGAGCTTACTAGACAAGTGCTCTAGCACTAAGGGATAACTCCAGCTCTCTTTCATTATGAATGTATGTATGTATGAATGAGATGTTGTGGTACTAGGGACTAATCTAGGGTGTCACTTACTCTCTCAGTTTTGAGACTGGATTTCTCTATGTACACTTGAAGGCTGTCCTGGAACTCACTCTGTAGACCAGGCTATCATCAAAATCATAGACATCTACCTGCCTCTGCCTTCTGAGTGCTGGGGTTAAAGGCATGTACCACCACTGCTTGGCCTAAGGATTCTTTCTTTCTAGATTATTTTTTTAAAGATTTACCTATATTGTTACAATTATCAGGGGTTTTTATTTGTTTGTCTTCATTTTGGCTTTTGGGGACAAGGTTTCTCTGTGTAGCCTTGGCTGTCCTGGAACTCACTTTGTAGAACAGTTTGGCCTTAAACTTAGAGATCCTCCTGCCTCTGCCTCCTGAGTGCTGGGATTACAGGCATGCACCACCATACTCAGCTGCAACAAGTGCTCCTAACGATTGGGCCATCTCTCTAAACCCTAGTTCATCCCTTATTGTTGAATAGTAGTCTGTTCTCCAGTTATATTACCATTTGTCTAGTTAGTTGTAGATGGACATTTGTTTGTTTGTTTTGCAGAACTGGGCTAAAATAAAGTTTCTTTTCCGTTTTGTTTTTTCCATGTTCCTCTACCACCCAGCTAAATAAAGTTTCTATGAAAACTTGTTTATGAAACTTTTAGTAGCCAGACAGTGGTGTTGCAAGCCTTTAACCCCAGCACTTGCGGGCAGGGTGACAGAAGCAGGCAGATCTCTCTGAGTTCAAGTCTGACTCTTGTCTACACTGTTATCTATAACTGTAGTCCCATGGGATTTGTACTGTCTTCAGGTGTGCAAATGTACATGAAGACAGTATGTATGTATGTATGTAATGTATTTGGCTTCTGGTTTTTTGAGACAGGGTTTCTCTACCTTTATCCCATAACTCAGGAAGCAGAGGCAGGTTGATCTCTGTGAGTTCCAGGCCAGAAAGCATGTCTCAAAAAACAACAACAAAAGAAAAGAAAAGAAAAAGAGAAAAAAAGAAAGGAAGGAAGGAAGGAAACAGACTCTATCCCATAAAGAAACCTGACCTAGCTGTGTGAGGGTTAGCTCAATGATATGCTGCTGGTCCAGGACACACAAATCCTGAGTCTAATCCCTATAGACTCTCTCTATAGAGTCCTGGATGTCCTGGAACACACTACATAGACCAGGATGACCTCTGATTCCTGAGTGCTGGGATTAGTGTCACAAGCCACTTTGTCCAGCCTCATTTAAATGAATAAGTCACATATGCACATTATCTCAATAAAATTGTTTTTGTCCAGGCATGGTGACACACTACTTTAATCCCAGGGCTCAGGAATGTCTCTTAATGGTCCAAGGTTATCCTAAGCTACATATATCAAGTTCTGGGTTAGTAAGTACTGCATAGTGATACTCTGTCTCAAAAGAAAAAAAATTAGAGAGCAACAACAATGAAATGGACCAACCGAAGTGATTTCACCTGACCACAGTGTGATTGCTAGGCGTCTGGCTTGACAGTAGCCAAGGGAAAGTAGGAGAATGTCCTGCTTGCCAGGGCTGAAGTTCTCTGTAAGACAAGGGGCTGTCCACGAAGGCCTTAGTGAGCTGAATGACCCTGAGGACGCTCAGGCAGCCTTGCCTCTTACCTCTTCCTTGGTGTAATACTTCAGGAGGCCTTCTCTCGCCAGAAGGACAAACCTCCTTCTCAGGAACTGTGCATTGTCTCGTCCCCGCTTCCACAGAAACACTTCTCGGTCACCTTAACCGCCAAGGGCGAGAAGAAGTGAATCACGAAGTCAACATAAATCATCTAAAGAGTGCCTCAAGGTCCTGGGTATAGGAAGAGCCTCCACCTGCCACTCAAACATAGCCAATCTAACTGGATTATTTCAGGTGCAGGACACAGGGGCCAACTTTATACAATTTCAGTCTCCAACTACTGTGCAAGACTTTTCTATCTTGACTCTCCCTGAGGTCAGTCTGCTTCATTGGAAGACAGATGTGGCCCAGGGCCTGTAATCCTAGCACTTTGGCTGAGGGAGGAGAGTGGTTATGAGTTCGATGCCAGTCTTGACTACATAGCAAGACTCTGTTACAATGAAGAAAGGAAAGAGCATTGGAGAGATGGCTTAGCAGTTAAGAGTACTTGCTCTTACAGAGGACCCAGGTCCCAGCATCCATGTGACTGCTCACAACGATTCATAACTCCAGTCCTAGTGAATTAAACACTCTCTTCTGACCTCTGAGTGCACTAGTGTTGCCTGTGGTGCACAATCATACATTCAGGCCAAACAACCACACATATAAAAATGAAGTTAATTTTTTTTTCTGAGACAGGGTTTCTCTGTGTAACAGTTCTGGAACTCACTTTTTTGTAGACCTGGATGGCTTCAAACTCACAGAGATCCATTTGCCTCTTCCTCCTGAGTGCTGGGATTAAAGGCGTGTGCTATCACCACCTGGCTAAAGTATTTTTTTTTTTTAAAGTTAGGGCCAGCAGTGGTGGCACTCAGGAGGCAGAGGCAGGAGGATCTCTGAGTTAGAGGCCAGCTGGTCTAAAGAGTAAGTTCCAGGATAGACAGGCTGTCTAGAGAAACTCTGTCTTGAAAAATGAAAACAAAACAAAGATTTTTTTTTTAATTTAATAAAAAAAAAGGAAGAACAGAGAAGAGAGAAGGGTTGGGAAGGAGAGAAAGAAAGAAAAAAAAAAAACTCTTAAGAATGCCAAGTATCAAGAAACTGAACTGTCTGGGTGTTGGTGGCACACACCTTCAATCCCAGCACTTGGGAGGCAGTTGGATCTCTGTGAGTTTGAGGTCAGCCTGGTCTACAGAGAGAGTTCCAGGACAGGCTCCAAAGCAATAGAGAGAAACCCTGTCTTGGAAAAAAGAAAGAAAGAAAGAAAGGAAGGAAGGAAGGAAGGAAGGAAGAAAAAAGAGAGGGGGAAGGAGGGAGGGAGGGAGGAGGGAAGGAAAGAAGGAAGAAAGGAAGGAAAGAAAGAGGGGGGAGGGAGGTAGGGAGGGAGGAAGAGAGAAAGGAAGAAGGAAGGAAGGAGGGAAGGAGGGAAGGAAGGAAGAAAGAAACTGGATTGATTTTGAAAAGGTCCTGGGACATGGTTCAGCTGGCAGTCTCTCATAGCATGCAAGACACTTTGGGTTTGACACCCAGCACTGCATAAGGTCAGTTGTGGTGGCACATGTCTATAATCCTAACACTCAGGAAGTAGAGGCATGAGAATCAGGACTTCAAGTTCATCCTTGACTGTGGGTTCAAGGCCAGCCTGGGATACAAGAAATCTTGCCTCAGAAGAATGAAGGGTATATATGGTGGTACACACTTTTGGTCCCAGCACTCCAGAGGCAAAGACAGATGAGTCTCTGTGAGTTTAGGGCTAGCCTGGTATACATTAAGGATTTTAAGCAAATTAGGGATATAGAGTAAGACCTTGTCTAAAAAGTTTTTATATTATATAAATTATATATTCTGCTGGGCATAAATTATGTATCCTAGAACTCAGGGGGCAGAGGTAGGTGGATCTCTAAGTTTGAGGTCAGCCTGGTATAGACCAGAACACAGTTCCAAGACAGCCAGAGCTGCACAGAGCTGCCTCAAAGAAAAAGAAAAGAAGAGTATAAGGGTGACCTCAAGACACCAGTTTGAGGAATAATTTGCATCCTGGAAATAATGAAAGTTTTGTCCTTTCAAGCTTTGTCCTCTGGGCAGTGCCAACTTGAGGATTCAAGTCAGTGGAATGAAAACCACCCTGGGTCTAGGGCTGTCAGTCAGGTTGTGCTGTGTGTGAATGTGGAAAGAGAGGCTGGAATCTAGCTCAAGCTCCTCCCCAAGCCTACCTCCCACCTTTCATTCTTCTAGAGCTCATTGGAATATAGACCTCAACACATCAAGATGGTAACTTCAGGCTGCAGAGATGACTCAGTGGCTGAGAGCACTGGCTACCCTTCTAGATGACCCAAGTTCAAATCCCAACACCTACATGGATCAAAACTGTTGCAACTCCAGTGTCAGGGCATCCAATACCCTTTCCTGGCCTCTGGGTGGATTGCATACATGTGGTGCACATACATACATGCAGATAATATAGTGACTTTACCTTGGAGTGAGACAGCTTTCTCATCAGCCAAAAATTCCTGTCTTTCATACTTAGCTCGAATCCATTGTTCCTTTAAGACCCTAAAAAGAGAACTTTTGGTCAGTTGTGTCTGCTGCAGTGTCTTCCCATTCCCACAGTGAGTTGCCAAGACCATATAGGGAAAGGATGGAGACAGCCTAGCAGCTGGCATCTCAGAACAACCAGAGGTTCTCAACCTTAGGATAGTAAATATCAGTGCTGGATGATTCTTTCTAGTGGGGGCAGGGCGGTCCTGTGCTTTATGGAATGTGTGGCAGTATCTCTGGCTTCTAGTCCTAGATTCCAGGAGCTTCTGCTCTCCAGATGACACACCGTCTTCTAAGTGAGTTGAGAAGCTCTGTACTGTCCCTCAGCCCTCTAAGTCAATGGTGAAGATATGAGTTCCCTAGACACTTACCCCATTCCCCAACACCTCCCCCAAACTCTCTGCTTGAGAACTTGAGTCAAAAATGTCCTGGACCTGCTGATGGCCCTGAGCCACTACACTGCACAGAGCAGACTGATCTAGGGTATCCCAGGCAGACCCAAGTGGCTAAAGTAACTGACAATGACTTTGAACTCATGATCTTTCTGCTTTCACCTCCCAAGTGCTGGGATTACAGGTGTGTGCCACCATACCAGCTTTATGCAGCCCTGGGGATCAAACCCAGGACTGTAAGCATGTCAGGTAGGCACTCAAACCAACTTGCATCCCCAGATCAAATTACTGAAGAGATCTTCATGCCTTCCATGGTGCTGTTAAGGAGGGCAGTTGTTTATAAAGGACTCAGCACCACACTGAACACACACTAGGATTTTTTGTTGCTATTGTCCTTAACAGGGTCTTACTATGTAGACTGGCCATGAACTCACAGAGATCTGCCTGCTTCTGTTTCCCAGATAGTTAGATAAAGGTGTGCCTCACAACACTGGTCTCACAGTAGGTCCTTTTTTGTTTGTTTATTTTTGTTTTTCGAGACAGGGTTTCTCTGTGTAACCCTGGCTATCTTGGAACTCCCTCTGTAAACCAGGCTGGCTTCAAACTCACAGAGATCTGCCTCTGCCTCCTGAGTGCTGGGATTAAAGGTGTGTGCCACTATTGCCTAACTCATAGTAGGTTCTTAATGCTAACATTAACTAAATGTTATTCTTGGGTGCAGTAAAACTGTGCAGCTGAGAACAAATTTATTTTCATTGTTTGTTCCTTCTTATCTTTTCCAGGGACAAGTTTCAAAGGTTAGCTGGTCTAATGCCCTGGGAACTGGAGTAACCTGGAGCCGTGAATCTGGCCTAAGCAGGTCACTTGGGTTGCCCTGGGCTGTTAGGGGTCAAAGAAACCAGAAGTTAAGAGACTAGCCGGAAGTCCTCTCTGGGCCGTGCTAACATGCAGCATGAATCTGCAAGTAGATTTGCTGTCAGCTGCAGGTAGAAATCTGGCTGAGAGAATGATGGAGGGACAAGTACCACGGGGGTATATGAAGATTATGTCACACTTGAGAATCTGGTGTGGTCCTACCATCTCCCCTTCTCCTTTTCCTTGGTCATGTCTGAGCTCCTGTTATGATCCTCCTCCTCTCCCTCCTCCCTTTTGCTTCCTTTCTTTAAGAAAATGCATTTATTTATTTATCAATCTATTTATTTATTTTATGTGCATGTGCGTGTGGGGGGGGACATCTTGCAGGCCTTTACTGTTATTTTGAAACAGTGTCTTACTGCAGTCTAGGCTTGTCTTAAACTCACACTATGTGGGCCTCAGCCTTCTTAGTTTCCTAATGCCAGGATTATGGATGTGTACTACAGTACCTGGTTTGGCAGGATCCACTTTTAGGGTGGCTTTACCCATGTCCTTCCCGATGTCTGAATTTCAGAACCCCAAAAATCTTTTGGTATCCGAACCAGCTTAAGTTGGAATTCTGTCCCTTACAGTCATGAGTTATTTCTAGGTTTGAGGTCTAGCTCAGAGGAAGAGCACTGGCTTGATATACTCAAGGCCATGTTTTTGACCCGCAGTATACACCTCTAACACCTTCCTCAGGCACAGCCTTCCCCACGGGACAGTGAAGAGAGCACCACAACCAACAAAGATGTGGGAATCCTAGGCCACAGGACTAGACACTGAGGGCTCCTGTTCTAGTCCCAGAGGTGGTGAATGCAATAGCTTTAGAACTGGAGGAAAGCAGGCACCAGCCCTCAATCAACAGGGATTAAAATGCAAAGACATTTGTAGGAGTCATGATAAACAATGCTGGAAGGGACAGGATAGCGAGCCCATGTAAGAGACACTGTCTAGGGTCTTGGAACAAAGACATTCAATAGGGGAAAGATAGGATAGGTTATTTCAAGTGGTGTCCAACATAACCCTTAGAGGGTTGAGGGATTTGGTATCACTGTAAGGCTGACACTTAAGAAATGCATTAAAACTACCATGCTAGACGACATGGGAGATGCTTAACAAATTAAGTCATTTGACTTATATTACTTTGTAAGGTGGGTTTTGTTGCTGCACTTTTGAAGAGGGACTTGAACTACATGCAGAGGATGTCCAAGGGGTTTGGTGGTTTGGCCACCTTCTTTTTTTTTTTTTTTTTTTTTTTTTTTTTTTTTGTTTTGTTTTGTTTTGATTTGTTTTGTTTTTGTTTTGTTTTGTTTTAGTGATAGGGTCTCTCTGTGTAACTCTAACTATCCTGGAACTCACCCTATAGATAAGGCTGGCTTTGAACTCACAGAGATCCACCTAGCTCTGCCTCCTGAGTGCTTGAATTAAAGGCCTGTGCTACCACTGCCTGGCCTTGGCCATGGCCACCTTCTTATAGCTGGGTAGCAGTAGAATTGAGGGGGGTGGACCTGAGGCCTTCTGCATATAAAGATATGCTTCCCTGCCTCTCCACATGGCACCAGTAGCCCTTGGGTCACCTAACTGCAAAACTATAGTCACCAATCACAGTTATGCATTTGTGCAAGGCCTGAACGTACCATGTTGAGACTGGGTGGTTCAAATGTAACTGTCCAGCCATGCCTGTATGAGACTGTGTCTACCTAGAGGGTCCCTTTCCTGAGTACACAGAACACTGACTGACAGCCCTGAATGAGGCTGAGTCCCTGCGAAGAAGGCCCATGCTCAGGGAGTCAGCCGTTCAGAGGTTTGGGGTCACTAGGGTCTAAGGTCCCCTCATCACTTACCTTTACAGCCTCCTGCTATACTGTGTTTTCCTAATGTCCCATGGTGTCAGATGATCTATACCCAGCTCTATGTTCCTTCATACCCATCCTGTTCTGTCTCTTAAATAAAGGATAACAGTCATACTTGCAGGGTTACTGAGAATGTTTGGCAATGACACACACAGCATTTAGCACAGAGCTTGGCATATGGGCAAAGCTCCACCAATATTAATGGCTTTTGTTTTGTTTGAGGTATAGCCTCAAGTAGCCCAAGCTGGCCTCCAACTCACCATGTAGCTGAGGCTGACCTTGAATTCCCGATCATATCCTTTTTATTCACTTCCTATGCACCAGAATTACAGGCTTGTGCCAACATGCCTGGTTCAAACCAGGATTTCTGTGTGCCCTCTGTGATGATACCAAATTCATTCCTAAAAGAACCTTCTAACCAGGTCACAGGAGAACCCACCTCAGACAAAGGTACCAGGATCAGGGAAGGACTGGGAAGACCCCTCCCCAGATCCTAGGGAATCACTCACGTACAGGCAATCGCTGGCCTGAGGGACATAGTAGAAAGGTGGAACTCTGGCTTCAAATTTGGCTTTCATATTCAGATTTCCATTGTGGGTCATGAACTATAAGACAAGAGCAAAACTGAGTAATTGTAGAACTTGAAAAAAAAATACATGATATGAAACCATGGTCTGCCACCCAGAAGACTGATTCCTGGGCTAAATGCTGCACACACACCTTTAATCCCAGCAGAGACAGTTGGATTTCTGTGAGTTTGAGGTCAGCCTGTTCCACACAGTGAGTTCCAGGAAGTCTATGGCTATGTAAAGAGACCATGTTTCAAAAAAATAAATAAAAAAAAATAAAAAGCCTGTGTTTTTCACTGGCTTTGAGGCACGGCTAGGAGAAACTGCCTCTAAGGTAGTGTCTCACCAGGCACGCAAAACCCTAGTGTGTCCTAACATAGAGGACTAATAACCTTATATAGCTGATAGGCCTTATATAGTTAACAGGGTTCCTCTCAACCATTTTTACACTAATATTCTATTTTTAAAAAGGACATGGGGCTCAGAAAGGTTAGGTGGCTTTCTCAAGGCAACATAGCTAGTTAATATAAAGTGATGATGCCAACCTGTTTCTGCTGGACCACAAAGCTCATGTTCTTTCTCTTACTTCTTTCACAGGCAGCCACACCCCCTCATAGTATATAGAAGACTGGGCTAGATGGAGAATGGAAGTGGCTGCCAACTTCCATAGCATATCCAATGTCACCTGAGACTCAGAGTGGGCATTCTGTCCAGGGATGTGCTGATGTGTCAGTGGGCAGTGACATAGCTGGGGTAAGGCAGGAATAGCAGGTTTATAATTCATATCTCTGAACACAGTGACCACTATCCTCCTCCCTGTGGTCTCTGGAGCTGTGGCGTAGATAAGTATTACCTGTGGACCCCATTAGAGAATGAGTGACCTGGGGAGGCTCACCAGTCCCAGTGAAGACATAACAGGGAGTTAGAAGGCAAAAACCTATGGGTGTATGGGCTGGTTGGCCGAGTTCCTGTGTTTCCCCTGAACAGAATGTAAGCCTTGTCTAGATAGCCACTCTGTCTTGTCAGCGTGCTCTTCCCCATCAAGGACATTACAGTTACATCTGTGTGTATTGAATGGTAAAAAGTCCAGGCCAGATAGTCCTGCCATAGAAATGGAATGTTCAACAATGTTACCTGCTTCCTCAGTGGCCCTCAAACCTCTCAGTTCACCAGTGTGCTGTAGACCTGTCTGCTCTCTTCAGGTTTTCTGGCCAAAATGGCTTCACTACCCAGGCTGAGGGCTCCTTCATATTCACTGGGCAGGAAAGCAGAGTGGGCTAGGGAAGCGTGAAGGACCTTGGGCTATGAATTTGGATATGATGTTTTTCTTCCTCAGTTCCTGGCTCCCATGAATGATGGCAATAACTGTTAATTCACTTTGTGTCTATGCTGAACCTGTGCTTTATTCTAATTTTTTTTCCTGGTTTTTTGAGACAGAAACTGTAGCCTTGGCTGTCCTGGACTTTGCTCTGTAGACTGGGTTGGCCTTGAACTCACAGAGATCCACCTGCCTGTGCCTCCCAAGTGCTGGGATCAAAGGCATGGGACACTGTCACCCGGCTGTGTTTTATTCTTATAGCACCCAGTGAAAGGGTGGTGCATGTCCATAACATGGGTGTGGAAATAGAATCCATAGCTAAGATTAAGGAACTAGCCCAAGGGCTAGAGAGATGGCTCAGTAGTTAAGAACACTTATTGGTCCGTCTTGCAGAAGACCTGGATTCAATTTCCAGCGCCACTACGGCAGCTCCAATGCCTGGGAGCTGATACCTTCTTCTGAGCTCTGTGGGCTCCTGCACATATGTGGTGCACATACATACACACATATATCTTTAAACACACACACACACACACACACACACACACACTTAAAGGCACTACTTAGTTTCTCCCCCCCCCCCCACTTGTAAGGGGAACAAATGATTAGCTAGGATTTGAACTCAGGGTCTTTGTCTAAGCCACCACCTACTAGTCTGTGTTTCCTCTCATTAGTCATTGCACCTCTTTAAGCTTCATTTCCTCCACTGTGGAAAAGGAGAAACACCTGCGTCCCGCCTCCTCTACCCACGTCCAATTCCAAGAATCTGCATACACGCGCACGCCATTCTACCTCCACCATACTGTCGTCCCAGAAGTCCAGTCTCACGGATTTAACTTTGCTGACATCTGGGAAGTTGCGGTGGACGCCAGAGCAGTGGAGACAGATGAAAACCCCCAGCTTGTAAGAGGCCCAATCAGGATCTGCGGGGTGGAAGGGCAGGATCTCCGCTGAGACGGACCAGGACTGGGTTGGGGTGCCGGACAGGCTGGGCTGGACAGTTAGGATCCTGGGTCGGAGGCCAGCTCTACCCACGCCGGTAATCCTTTCTCTCTTGGTCCCCAACCTTGGACAACTGAGGTAATATCATAAACCGTGCTTAGCCCACCCTTTGGCGCAGCGACACCCAAGAGACCTCGGAAGGAGGGATCGAGAAGAGGGGACAAGTGAGAGACCCGCTTGGACGGAGGCTCAAGGGCAGGAGCCACATCAGCATCGTCAGGATCAACGCGCCTAGTGAGGGTCGCGGGGGCCTAGGAGGCATAGGAGGTGAGGACCTCAGGGTCCGAGAAGGGCCAAGGGTCGGAGATGATGTCCAGGGTGGTAGGATGCCCAGTGGGAAAGTGAAAGGGATCAGGGTGTGGACGGCATCTGGTACAGAGTGGGGACTGAAGTCCCGAGTTTCGGGGAGCTGGGAGCCCGAGGACGGTCGGGGCCGCCGGAGACGCTCGAGCGAGAAGGACTGGGGTCCCAGGCGAGGAGCGAGGCTGGGTCGCGCGTGAATGGGCTTCTAGGGAAGGGACTGACGAGCTAGGGACCAGGGCCGTGCCTGGCTGCACTTGCCCCGCACGCCGTGCCCTTACCCGCAGCCCCGCAGTCGGCGCAGTACCCATTGCCGGTGCCCGTAGCTTGCAGCAGCTCCAGCAGCCGCTTCTTGTTGCGCTCGCGGTCGCCCATGACCGGACCGGAGGTCTTAGCAGGGCTCAGCCCCACAGCCTCTGCGCTTCCCGCTCCTGGACGCCCATAGTCCTGCGTTTGTCTGGCAGCTGGAGAAGGACTCAGCTCACCAAGACTTCCAGTCCGGTGAGGCCGCCGGCCCCGCCCCCGGGACAGCATGTCCCTCCTCCAGTTCTTGACCACGCCCCTGGACAATATAACCCGCCCCCAAGGCCAGCTGTCCAGTTCCACTACCCGAGGGGGAGGGACAGGAATGCACCAAATGTAATCCTGACTGGCTACTTGCTAACTGGTTTATTCACTCTCTAGGCCTCAGTTTCCACATCTGAAAAAGAGGCATATGAGGGCAGTATAGGGGCTGGAGAGATGGCTGTTCTGGCTGGTCTTCCCAGATTCAATCTCCAGCACCCACATGGCAGCTCATAACCGCCTGTAACTCTAGTTTAGAGGATCAGACACCTTCACACAGACCATATATGTAGGCAAAACATGAACGCACATGAAATAAAATAAGTAATTAATTAATTAAAAAAAAAGAAAGGCAGTATAGTTGTTTCCTCCGCCTTGAAACATTCTGCTTTGTGAGGAGGAGGGTGGCTCATAAGACCCAGGGAGTTCAAAACGTAGAACACTCACATGGTTGGGGAGAGAAGACCCTTTGCTGGGGCTGCCTACAAGTTGAACAGGGAAATCAAAGTAAACACCTTTTGTGAATGGGAATTCATGCTGGGTGGGCTGTTTGGCAATGCTGCTTCTTTTGAGTCAGTCGCCCATGCTCATGTAGGTAGCCTTAATAAACTCATTGGCTTGTCAAGCTAGACTTGGGTACAGTTTCTTTGGTTTATCGTTGGTGCCCTACATGGGATGAAGAGACATTCGCTCATGCCTCTCCAGGAAAAGAGACATGTGTCTGCACTGCAGGGTTCCTTGGAATCTCTGAACATGCTCTAACTTGTGTTAAAGTGCTCTGCAGGTCTTATATCTGTTTAGAGACAGCTAGGTGCAAATGCCCCCTTCTCAGGACTCCCTCCATGACTCCCAGTCTCCAGCACTCCGTTGGTCCTGTTACAATTCCTTAATAGGGTAAGCTATCCTCTGCAGCCCTGACAACATCTGTGATCCATGTCACATTGTAGTAGCTTAGACACCTGGGTTAATTTCTATCCCTATGGCCTCGCCAGAGTTCAGTGTCAATATTCTATTCTGGGAAGCAAAATATTCCGTTCTAGGAAACAGCCTCTATCCATTTTGAGAAACAGAAAAAGTTTCATGGCTGGATTCACCAGGAAGTAGACCAACCTGGACAGAGCTGGATTGTGTGGAATTCCATCATTGTGGGGTGGGCAGGGCTTGGGGGGGTTTTGAACCTACTTCCCTACATCCCTTTTCTTTGACACCATCTTCAGTGACTCACTGGACTCCTGTCATCCATCCATGACACACATAAAGCTTAATGCCAGAGAGGTTGGATTTCTATTCAACACACATGCAGCAGCATGATACAGTGGGATGACTGTAGGATTCCACAAATTCAAAATATGAATGATGGCTCTGACTCCATCTTTTCCTGTTTGTGAAGGAAGTCTGTTCCATCCTCTTCCTAACTGTGGTCTCATCTGTGAGACGAGAACTTTGAAGGCTGCTGAGATAGCACACAAAGCTCTTCCCTTGAGTCTCCTATCTCTTGTTGAGCTTATGGGACTTGTCTGGAAGGTAGGCTTCATTTCTCATCATTCCCATGGTGGAGGAGGTCAAGCCACCAGATCAGGAGAAGAAGCACATTCCAGAAACAGCCAGTCTGTAGAGGTCTTGACTATATTGTAGGATTGGGGGTGGCTATCCCAGGAGCATCCATAAAGGAACCAGTAAATGGGACAGCTGAGGTCAGGAGGCACGAAACTATTTAGTAAACGAACTCAGAGATGATTCATTTCCGCTGCATTGGATAAAAAGAGACAGAAATAAGTCTCCCAGGATGAGGATGGGAAAGGCAACAATGTAAAGTATGAACAGAGGGGAGAGGGGTAGGGGAAAAGAGGGCCCAAGCCCAGGACATCTGCCCTCTGCTCATTCTGCAAAGTTGGGCTGTTTGGAACCACAGCCTTGGTCTCCTATAGTATCTGGACTCTTTTTATTTTTTCCCCAAGACAGGGTTTCCCTGTGTGTCCGTGGCTGTTCTGAAACTCACTCTGTAGACCAGGCTGGCCTTGAACTCAGAGATCTACCTGCCTCTACCTCCTGAGTGCTGGGATTAAAGCTTGCGCCACCACTGCCCTGTGCCTCTGGATTTTTTAACTGTCCCCTCCCTAGAAGCCCCATCAAGAATCCAAGCAGCAGTCAGTTCAGGGAGGAATCCAAGTGTGAAAAGGTCCCTTTGAGTTTCTTCTCCTGTCCTCATATTGGAGGTTTTAGTTTAAAAATTAGCAAAGATTTAGGGTGGACTTTCAACCATCCAGAGAAGGAAAAATGACAGTAACCTGGTACTTCGTGCCAGGTTCCTACCTCCCTGCCTCTGCATTGGGGATAGGAGGTAAATAACACTGGCTGGGTGCTCAGCAGACCAAGCTCCAGACATTGATGCCTTTGCCTTCAGGATGCCTTTGGTGGGCAGCAGGCATTTTGTTACACAGAAGAGGCTGAGAGCTAAGCCCCAGGGGAGCTGTTACCTAAGGTCTTGTGGTCAAATAGTGTGTGCAACAAGGGCCTACAGCCAGATTTCCTGTCCCAATGTCATTTAGTCTATTTACTTCATGAAACCACTCTTCGTTCTCATCCTGGATTGTTTTATCTTTCTGTGCTGGGGTATGAACTTATGGGTTTGTGTATACCAGTTAAGCACTCTATCCCTGAGCTGAAATTCCACTTTATGTTTTCATATGTATACCCATAACACATACAAAGTGATGACTTGGTACACTGTGTAATAATCATCATACTCAACACATGGGCTAGACAGATTGCTCAGTGGTTAGAGCACTGGCTGCTGTTGCAGAGGACCCAGGTTCAATTCCCAGCATTCACATGTTGGCTCACAACTGTCAGTAACTGCATTTCCAGGGGATCTGATGCCTTCTTCTGGCATTCTGAGGAAACCTGCAATCACGTGAACACATAAACACAGAGAGGCTTATACATACTTTTAAAAAATTAACCTTAATTAAAACCACCGCCCCACACACACACTACCCCATATCCACCACCCACCTGCTGTGTTCCTATAACTCAAAGTTTGTACTTTGTATTTTTACTGCTGATTTTCAAAACCTATTCATCACCCCCAACAGAAACGTTGTTACCTAGTCCTGGATTTGGTACAATAACATCATTGTTTCTGTGTTCAGAAATCGCAAGTCAAGGGGATGTGGTAGTGGTCTTCTCATCACAGCTCAAGAGGCTGAAGCAGGAAGAGTGAGAATTGAGGCATGCTGATTTACACAGTGAGTTCCCAACACACCTGAGTAAGCAGCAGTAGGCAGATCTTTGTGAGTTTGAGGCCAGCCTGCTCTACATAGTGAGTTCCAGAACAACCAGGAGTACACAGAGAAATTCTGTCTCAAAAACAAAACAAAACAAAACAAAAAAACCCCAAAAACAAAAAACAAATAGAACGTAAAAAGAGGGTCTGGAGAGATAGCTCGGTGGCTTAGAGCACTTGCTGCTCTTGCAGAGGACCCAGTCAGGGTTCCCAGTACCCATGTCAGGCAGCTCGCAGCAGCCTGTAACTCCTGCTACAGAGAACTGGACACTCCTTTTTTGTTGTTCTGTAGCTTCGGAGGCTGTCCAGGAACTCGCTGTGTAGACCAGACTGGCCTCCAACTCACAGAGATCCGCCCGGGATCGGAACACTCTTTTCTTCATCACACATACACATTTCACTTACATTTATGTAAATAAAAGTAAACCTAATCATTTTTAAAGCTTTATGCTATTATTTGCTATATGTGCATGTGTGTGGAAATAAATCATTTAAAATATTTTATTATTTATTTTTCATTTATGTGTATGTGTTTGTGGTTATAGAGTCCAAAGGCGTTGGATCCCCTGGAGGTAGAGTTAAAAGTAGTTATCAGCCACCATGCAGGGGTGGGAAACTAACTTGGCTGTATAGGAGCCAAAAGCAATCCGCTGAGCTATCTCTCCAGCCTGAAAATTAATCTTTTTTTTCCTTCATGAATTAGCAAATTATGTCACAGCACCTATAGGCCAGTTCCCCCCTCCTAAATAGTTACCATGTCCAAGGCCATGTACAGTTGGGTAGATGGGACTGTTGAGTCTTAGAGGACCTCCACCACTATCAGTCCTCATTTCAACATTGGAAGAACTGTCAAACTCAAATGCAGTTCATAGTTTAGGACATGGGCTACCAAGATGAGAAGCCTGGAACTGCCCGAGGCCTGTATGGGTAATTCAGTCTGTCCTTGGTGAGGTTACAGAGGTCACACCTGAGTCCCATGGCTTTAAGTCATATTTGCACCTGTCCTGGCCAGCCGCATGGTCAAGAGGTGAGCCTTATTTTTCCTGGCTTCTGGTTCTGGAAAATGAAAAAGGGTGGATAGCTCCTTGTATTTCCCTGGCCCTTCTGAATTCCTCCCCCCCAAAAAAAACCCAGTTTCCACACCCCCCCCCAACTCCAAAGTTGTGTGCTGACCATGCAACCCTTTGGTGAGGTCTCTGCCATTGGGGTCTGGCCTAGAGCATCAAAGCCAAACCCCAGTGCCATTACATCAGAGCTCTTCTCTAACCATCCTTAGTGCTCACTGGCTTCTGAACACTGAGCATAGGAATAGCCACTTGCTCTTGGCCCTGACGTCATAAACAGAGTGGAGCAGCTGTGCTGTGCCTGTGGAGCAAAAAGACCCAGAATAAAAACAAATCTTTAAGGAAAAAAAAAATAAAAAGAAAGCCGGCTTTCTAACTTAGTGGAAGGGCATTTGCCTAGTACACTGGAGACCCTAAGTTCCACACTCAATACTGACAATAAGGAAAGGAAAGGGGGTGTGGTGGTGAGATGGCTCAGTGGTTAAGAGAACTTGCTCCTC